TATATTTAGTAAGCCAGCTTGGTGATGGCGGAGGCCGTAGGTATAGACTCTGGAGCTGGCAAACAGCAGAAAATATCATATTTCTAGTAGCTCCAAGCCCTAGGTGATACTGCTCAAGAATCCATTTCTTAAGGACTTTTTAACGTACCTGAACTCACACAAGCTTTTCACCAAAAATACCTACAGCATGATGATTATACTCTTGATTTTAAAAGGAGGGAGGTAGCGTTACGATCACAGCTCATAGCTGCTAGCAACTATAGGAACAGGCAGCTATGGTAGCCACTAAGGTTATAAGGGTCGTTAAGCGAACAGATGTATATAATGAGGGATAGCCTTACCTTCCTTCCTTTCTTCTTCTTCTCTCTTTAGATTCAATCTAGCTTAGCCTCCATGACCATCGTAACAGAGTTTTAGGTTCCTAAATCACAGGTAGAGTTGTTGTAGGCATTAGTGTAGGTGTACGAAGTCAAACATCAAGCTTTAAGATTACATAGTCCGGATCATATTGAACAAGTCCTATAGCGCAAAATCCTGCTCGAATGTTTAATTTAATAATTGTTGTACAAAACGCTAACGTACATGTATAGCGAAAGCGCCAAACAAGCGAAAGCGCCAAAATTATCTACCCTCACGACAAACATTGCGATAAATCTACCACAACATTAGAAATCAATTGAAACTACTCAGAGTCCTCTTCCTCAGAGGTGTCTATTACAATCTGACACGTGCGCGCATTGTGCCCAGTCTCACCACACTTGCCACAGCGACGGGCACGGGTTTCTTCCCTTGGCTTCCGACCACGGCTTGCCCTTATTTCCTGCTCTACCTGCTGCACAACATCCCTCTCATCCTGTAGCTCTTGCGCCCCTTGTTGACTAAGTGATCCTCCTTGCTGTAGTCGTGTTTTCCTAGCTCTCCGGCGCTTGCTTAGTACTTCATTTGCCTGTCGTAGGTTTTGGTTCTCTCCCTTTAGCAGTGCTAATTGATGCATTATTTGCGATGCACCCTTTGTAAACTGGTCAACAGCTGCATAGATTGAGGTTGGAGAGCTATTTTGATGGCGTGAAATCCGAGTTTTAATAAATGTAGACTGTGACATAGCTTCAATTGGGTTGTTTGGTGTCTGAGAAACCCAAGGTTGAGCAGTACCTGGGCGGGAGCTTGGAGGCGTTGGTGTCCTTAACTTAAGATCAAGTGTAGATATCACTCTCTCAGGGTCAAATGGAAGAAGCCCTGCCCCTCGGAACCTGCCTCGAATGTTACTTTCCGTCATTGTAGTGTTAAATGCAGCGTGGAAGGCAGGAAAGAAGTCATCCTTTGTAATATGAGAAATATGAGCCTGCATCATATCTTCAATTTGCCGACCATAGGCCTGCTTTAACGGGCCGAAACAGCCAACATCAAGTGGCTGGAGTAGATGAGAAGAGTGAGCAGGCATACAAAGCGTAATAATGTTGTGTTCCTTGCAGTACTCCTCAAACTCATCTGAGTGGTGGCTCTCATGACCATCAAGGACTAACAAGCGATAACCACCAACACTCCGGGCCTTTGTATGCTTCTCAAAGTGCTCAATCCAATCCATGCCTCTCTCGTTTGTAGTCCAGCCATTTTCAGTAACAGAAATCACCCAATCGCTTGAAAATCCACTATTCTCATACCAAGATGTAAGGTGGTTTTTGCCTGCAAAAATGATAAATGGTGGTACTGCCCAACCTTGAGAACTAACGCCTTGGATTACTGTAACCCATTCCCGATTACCAGGCTGTACCTTCTTTGCTTTTGCCCGCCCGTCTGAGCTTGTTACAACCATAGCAGTTGAGATAACGCCCATCATAAACCCAGTCTCATCAAAGTTGTAGATATCTGCTTCATCGATACCATATTTCGCAATTGTGTTACGCACAAGCTCAAACCAGCCATTAATAACTTCTGGATCTTCGCACTTAGCCCTCTGGTAGTCGTATTTGCGCTGAAAGCGTGTCTGGAGCTCTACACGCCGCTTAACAAAGTTTGAAGCCCAACGCGACCCAACGCGTGACGCGTCGCGTGTTGCAAGTAGTCGACTTGCCATATCTTCAACAACAGACAGCCGAGGAGGAAACCCTTTGGCAGCTAGGTCGAGTATATACTGAACAAGGACGGACTCCTCTAGGTTAGTTAATTTCCGTGAGTTGGCTTGGATATCGCGTCGTGAAGGTACACCTTCTAGACGACGACCTAGCTTGCGGTGGTCCACAGAATAGATCCTAGCAGCAACTCGAAGGCGTAACTTTGGGTCGCTTTGCATAGCCTGGATAGCTAGCACTAATTGGCTTTCATCGTTTTTATGGGGCATGTTTTGTTGTTGAGGAATTTAACATTTAGTTGGGGGGTTTGGTCACCGCATCATTTTGGCGCTTTCGCTTGTTTGGCGCTTTCGCTATACATGTACGTTATGTAACTATATAATTAAATAATAAAATCAATAGAGCTACTATCACTATCTCCACTACTACTGTCACTACTAATCTCAATGTTACTATCACTATGATCCTTACCATACCGTAAAATTATCACTTTGGATTTTAACCTAACCTTCTTCCGCTCTGCTACCCTCTTCCTCTCAACCCTTCGCGCTTCGATTTCAATTTTCCGTTGTTGCACCTGTAGCTGCTTTACTACTTGCTTTGATTCCTTTGCTACTCTTGCCTCTGCCTTTGCTTGTAATTTTGCTTCCTTCTCCTCATGTAACAGTCGGGCGTCTGATGCATATAACTGCCCCCCCTTCTGTAGCGATTTCCGTGCCCTTGCCTTTGCTGTTTTCTGCTCTGCTGACCGTAAGGTAACAATGTCAAGCTCGGTCTTATAGAGCTCAGCCCGATGTAAAACAACTGTAGTTCCACGTGCAAATGATTGAAACCCTTCTCTTGACGGTGATGAGAAAGCTGCCTCTACTCTCTTCTGCCAATGTTTAACTGCCTGTATAGTTTGCACACTAGTTTTTGGAGTTGAGATAAGGTCGTACGAAGCAAATGGCTCATAGTCTGGTGTTTGATTCCGGGTCTCTTGTATTTTATCAATTACTAGTGGAGGATTATATGGATATAGTCCTGCATTTCTCCAACCTGATTGAATTGTCCGGACAGTTAAGGATTGCCGTCGGATTTGTGGAAGGTCGGTAAGGAACGTACGTAGCTTATACTCATAGTCATAGCTACGTACTGCTTGATCAAGTGCCTTTTGATGGAAGTGTTTGCACTGCTTAAAAACTGCTACATCAAGAGGTTGTAGTAGATGCGTAGTATGAGCAGGAAGGCAGCAAATAACAACGTTATGCTCTTCTGCTAATGTGAGAAAGCGCTCCGTTTTATGAGAGTCATGGCCGTCGAGTAATAGGAGGCGGGTGTCGTCTGGTGCCATATGCTCTGCAGATAGTTGAATAAAATGCATGAGGTATTGAATTGCAATGTCGTCGTTTGAATACCCACTCTCATTAACGATAACAAGAGCATTTGGCTCAAGGTTATCATTATACCATGAGTCCATATGAAGTTTCCCCGGAATGATAATGGCTTCTGCAATTGTTGTACCACTTGCATTTACTCCCTCAATCACAGTAACAGAGAGCCGATTCTCAGGATTATCAACAGTCCATTGCTTTACACCAATCGGCACAATAACAGCTGTAGATTTATAACATCCAATCATGTAGCCAGTCTCGTCAACATTCCATAAGTTATATGGCTTAATGTTGTGTTTTGTAATAAGTGCGTTATATGTAAGGAAAAATTCACCTCTTTCTTTTGTGCCTGCTTTCTATGCGTATTTAAAGTCTTCGTATGAATCGAGTGGAATTCAGGGTGTGCCTTAAGGAAGCGTTGTAACCACCGTTGCGATGGGATCGTACGATCGGGTCGCAAGTCTGCAACAGCCCGTAAAACCATTGATCGGTTTGCAGGGACCCCACGCTTAAGTTGGTCATATATAAATTGACAAACTGCAGTATCTTGTTCTTGAGATAAAACTCAGTTTTGACCCCCGCGGGGAAGGAGAGGGGTAGTAATGTGTCGTCGGAGTGTCTCACGGTTGACATTAAACTTGCGGGCAACCCAAGTAATTGTATAAGTATCTGGTTGTTTCAAGTAGAACTGCCGGGCCTCAATAAGACGGTCAGCTCGACTTGGATCGCTATTCAAAGGCATCGTAGAGGGTTGTTGTTACGACAAATATTATTATTTCATCTATGTATCAAAGTGGCGGTGTACATGCACATATCGCTGTCGCGTGCACAGATCGCTGTCGCCACCTACGAGCGAAGCGAGTGGGTGGAACACCGAGTAGTTTGGCACATTCGCTATACCAGTAATGTCTCTCGATACAACACTACCATTTACATCGACATGATTCGCCCCTTAGGTGAGCTTATAAAAGCATATATATCCCCCGGTACTTGTGCGTGGCACCTGTAAGCAACATCTCCAAGAGAGATGAGACGCAACCAGAATAGCGTAAAAGAGAAAGACCGACGTTATTCCGCCGCCGGAGCCAACATGGTTTTATGCACTACAACATCCGACACATATGGCAGGAATAATGGTGTCAATTCTGTAGCCTATGCGTGCTCTTCGCGTGGTTTTAGTGCCGTGGAGTCTATGTTCCTAATACATATGGGGTAAACCGTACAGTAGGCGCATCGTGGATAATCATTGACAATTCCAAGGGGTAATTTACGGACACCATTGTACCATGGTCTCTCCCCAGAGTCTGATTATATGAGTATGTGCGCTCTGTAGGAGTTGTTGGGTCGCCGTATTCGTCTGTGTGTTTACTACATGGATCGGCAATCTAATGTTACAAGGCAAGGACTCAGACCACCAGCGCAGGGATGTCGTTTTTCGTGGCTTTTATTCGCTCCGGCAGACCGCGGGTGTGGCTGCCTCGGGACTTCGGATTGGGACGAAGGAAGTATCAGTGCCACATGAGCTTCTTGATACATCTTGAAAACCCACTCGCCGAGAAAGCTGGTAATACACTGGTGTCCGTATCAGTATGGTAGTACTCGGTGCCGACTGCTCGTACGATCACCTACAGGTTGTAGTTAGCAGCGAACAGCTAGAACATGGCTCCGAAGCCATTAACTTGCTTTTCCTTGCGCAAGCGAGCACAGCAATGACGATGTTGTACCAGGGGTTGACGGCACAAAATATTCCGCTAGTGGTCGTACCCCAGACAGCAGCAACAGCAACTTCGTGTAGGGATATCTCCACAATATGTCAACACGCGCTCGTGTCAGCGCCAACCTTCTCCATTCTTATACCTAGAAGACGGGTGAGATTGGGGATTGGGACTAGGGGTTCTGAAATGAGGGGTAAAAACTAAGAAATGGGGCTGGAGTCACCGTTTATATGGGCCTTGATACCCCCCCCAAGATGTGAAATGTTCTTTGATTTCACCTTTCACTTTCTCGAGCAGCGCAATCATGGCTGGACCAAAAGCAGTTGCACCTCCCGTCGACGCTATCGACAAGTATGAGCTTCAGAGTTCTGGACAATATTGCACTGAAGCTAACCAACTCCTAGCAATGAAGCTGGCTACAACCCAGACCGCGTGAACCTAAACTCGAACATTTCCGGGAGGTAAGCTTTACGAAGCATCCGCTAAAAGGCTTGTGCTGACAAAAACTAGAATAGAGAATCCACTCGCTGGCATTCCTCGCGACACCCTCTTCTTAGAAGTCGAGAAGTTTGCAGAGGAAAAGGCCCTCACCGAGCATGTTGATGTCCTCAAAAAGGGTGCACTCGTCGCTCAAGATCCTCTCAACTATGAGGATATTACAGGCGAACACAGTTTAACCGACGGAGAGATTGAGGATCTTCGTAATGAGATCCTACACAAGTGGCGCCACCCACGAACGCTTTATCTAACCATCCTTCTTTGTTCCGTCGGTGCGGCTGTGCAAGGATGGGATCAGACTGGTTCCAATGGAGCTAATTTGTCTTTCCCTAGGTTTTTTAACATCGGGACTGAAAGCACCCGCGACCAGCTGCTTGTCGGTCTCGTAAACTCAGCGACATATCTTGGCTCGTCTCTCTTCGGGTGCTGGATTTCGGATCCTTTGAACTTTTATTTCGGTCGCCGTGGTACAATCTTCTTCTCCGCCGTCTTCTGTTTTCTCCCAGTTATTGGCTCAGCATTCACACAGACTTGGCAGCAGCTCTTCGCCTGCCGTATCCTGCTCGGATTTGGAATGGGCGCGAAAGGCTCAACTATCCCAATCTTTGCTGCTGAAAATGCGCCTGCCACTATCCGAGGCGCCTTAGTTATGAGCTGGCAGATGTGGACAGCCTTCGGAATCTTCCTCGGATACTCTGCTAATCTTGCCGTTGCTCATGTGGGAAAAAATGCATGGAGACTTCAACTTGGGTCGGCTATGATCCCCGCCATTCCTTTACTCATCGGCGTCTACTTTTGCCCCGAGTCACCGCGTTGGTGCATGAGTACGTACATCCAACTGATCTTAAATTTGTAATTAATGCTAATGCTGGAACATCAGAGAAGAATAGATATCCCCAGGCAATGGCGTCTCTATTACGGCTCCGCAACAGCCCACTCCAAGCAGCTCGCGATCTTTATTACATCCACAAACAGCTCGAGGTTGAGGCCTCCATTATCGGGAAGAGCAACTATGTAACTCGCTTCATCGAGCTCTTCACCATTCCTCGTGTTCGCCGCGCGACCCTAGCCTCTTTCACTGTCATGATTGCCCAGCAAATGTGCGGTATCAACATCATCGCATTCTACTCTTCTACAATCTTTGCGAAGTCCGGCTTTGACGACTATCAAGCACTGTGGGCTTCATGGGGCTTCGGTCTTATCAACTTCCTCTTTGCGTTCCCTGCGCTCTGGACAATCGACACGTTTGGACGGCGAGCACTGCTCCTCTTCACGTTTCCTAATATGGCGTGGACCCTCTTAGCTGCTGGACTCTGCGCACTGATTGACTTACACTATAAAATCCACTTGGCACTAGTGGCAATGTTCATCTATCTATTTGCCATGTTCTACTCCCCAGGTGAAGGACCTGTCCCATTCGCATACTCGGCTGAAGTCTTCCCACTGTCCCACCGTGAAGTCGGAATGGGTTGGGCTGTGGCAACCTGCTTTTTCTGGGCTGCTATTCTTTCGATCTTTTTGCCACTGATGTTGGTAGCAATGTCTCCCACCGTAAGTTTGCGCCGAATCCTATTCTAATTTCCCCAACTTCCCGCTAACTCATATGAAAAGGGTGTATTCTGCTTCTATGCAGGAACTAACGTTATTGCCTTGGTCATGATATTCCTCTGGGTTCCCGAGACCAAACAGCGCACACTCGAGGAGCTAGACTACATCTTCGCCGTCCCTACCCGCACCCACATGCACTACCAGATCAACAAGGCCCTTCCGTACTTCATCCAGCGATGGGTCTTCTTCAACAAAAACGCAGTCCTCGAACCTCTTTATAAATTCGACACTGCCCGGGTGACTGACAAGTCTAGAATTGCGGATATGCATGCGAATGACATCCGACGTGCCGAGCTGCGCAAGGACAACAGTGCCTCTGACGAGGACGTGGAGAAGGTTGAGAAACAGAATTAAACTTCAGCACGACAGTAAGCGATTTGACAGTGAACGATTTGGAACCCTGAATTCGCCTATACTTAAACGTACACTATCCTCTCCCTCTGTCTCTGTAATAACAACTACAAGCAAACGATTTTCAAAGGTCCGGGACCATACACCTATTGGCTGCTGCGATATAATTTGTAACCACTAGGGCAGGTTAATATGGCGTTGTAAATACTGCCTAAAGGAGTATCTTGAGTCTAGCGGAATGAAGATTATTACAAGGCACCTAAAATAACACGACATTGATATAGCCTCTACTTAGGAATCTCAAACTACCTCAATTCAAAGCAGCATCGCTAATGCTTTCGATAAAGCTAAGGAGGCGACTTATAAGTGCCGCTGTCTCTCTACTATTACAACTCAAGCCTTAGACCCTACTGTTGTTACCTTAAGTAGAATAGCAGAATGCATTATAACCTAAGCTCCTTTAGCAAGTCAGCTTAGTACATCATTAATTGAGCTAGGAGAGCTATTCTGATGCTGTATAATGCAGTTCTTAATATGCTCTGTTTGAAAGTCAAGCTCCCTTATAGTTTGAGGAGTCTTTAAAGTCCAATTGTTACTCTTAACTATAGGAGGAGTTGGAGTTCTTAAGTGTAGATTCAAGTGAGAGAGAACATTCTACGGCTTGTATAGAACTAGTCCTATAGCTCGGAACCTGCTCTTGATGTTCTGCTCTGTAAATGCAGCTTTGAATGCTTCTTTAAATGTAGAGAGAAGCTTGAGCTTTGTGATATGATTTAGCCTGTTCTATATGAAGGTTTTAATCTAATGTCTATACAAAAGCTTTAGCGGAGCAAAGCAAAGCTAAATCAAGTGGCTGAAGGATATACAAAAAGTGTAGTGGCATATAGAGGGTAATTATCTTCCGTTCTGTACAGTAGTGTTGAAATTAAGCTAAGAGGTGGCTCTTATGTCCATTAAGAATGAGAAGGAGATAGGTTCCGATTGTATGATTGTTTGTATGTTGATTAATGTGTTGAATCCACTCGTACCTAATTGAATTTAAAGTCCACCTATTCTTACTTGGTGTAATCACCTAATCGTCTAGCAATCCTAAGTCCTTATACGAAGCTAAGAGGTGATTCTGTGCCTTGAAAATGATGAATGGCAGGAGTGCCCATCTGTACGAATTAACACCTTGAATAAGTGACACCTATTCCCTATTTCCTAGCTGTATAGTCTTTAGACGGCTCTCTGCTTCCAAGCTTGTGACTACCTTTGCAGTAGCAATAACTCCTATTGCAAAACCTGCTTTATCAACGTTGTAGATATCCTGCTCTAAGATACCATATTTCGCGACAATGTTTCATATAAGAGAAAACCACTCTTGAATTATCTTTGGATCCTCACATTTGGCTCGTTTGTAATCGTACTTATAACTGAACTTTGCTTCGATTTCTATACAACGCTTAATAAAGTTGGTAGTCTAGTTTATCCTAATAGGGCTCTCACCTTGTTCAGAGAGTAGAAGGTCGGCCATTTCTTACACAGCTTGCAACTAGGGTGGAAATCCATGCGAATCTAGGTCAGGAATGTACTGAACAATAGCTGACTCTTCGTATAGAGTCAACTTGCATGAGTTGGGAATAGAGTTGCATTAGGAAGCCATTCCTTGAATTCGTTGATGTAGTGTTGTTCAAGGGACATTCAACATTACTGCAGCACCCTTAACATTCTGAATATGGCCTTGTTTAATAGCCTAGATAGCTAAAAGTATTCTACCCTCTTAATTAGATGATTAGGCTTGTGTTAGTTGTAGCATGTTGACTTTTGTCAAGTTCACATGTCTTTGCATTTTCTATAGCCACTCGCTTGTGGTGGCTACTCGCTTGTGAAATACGTTAGCTTTAGGATTAATACATATTCTGGTTATTTAATTATATTTTGAAGTAGTAGGGTAGGGAAAAGTGATCGACTTAGTGTCATGATTAACTTAGTGTATAACCAAGTTATCCCCCCCTTAATACTAATGTGAAGGCGCATTATAAATTGATATAATTAAAGTAATAGTAGACTACCATAGTATCTACTATATTAAGGTATCTACTATATTAAGGTATATATTATAGGGAAAGGTAGTAAATAGTGGTGGTTTAGTAGAAACATAGAGTCTAGAGGTATACTCTGTCATTGTGATTTTGGAAATTTTGCTTAGCTTTGCCGCTTTTTACCATAAAAACACTAGTAGTAGCGAAAAGTGCAGAAGTCCTTAAAATCACAATGAGAATCGTGATTTTAGACCATCATTATAGTAGCTAATAATGGTGTTAAATTAAGTGGTAGCCTATTACTTTATAGGAGAGCTTCGATAGTACTGAAAGCATAGTAAAGCCTATAGTAATACAGCACCTATAAGCAGAACACAGGCTTTTACCATTCACTGGTACAGTAACTATATTGAGCTTGTCGTGGATCTCCCAGTTGATTTCGTGTCCGGATAGGACATGAAGCTTACGGGGTACCACCGCTTGTCAGGGTGTTCTTGGTAAAGGACACCAGCTACGACTCCATCGGAGGAGTCTGTCTCCAGCTTCGTAGGCAATTCGGGGTTGAAGTGGTGAAGTGCCTGTACTGCTAGTAGTTGCCAGCGCAATTCCTCAAAAGCAGCCTCGCATTTGTCTGTCCATCGGAACAGCTCTGAGGGACTAGTGATGGTCGTGAGGGGCTGCTATTTTGCTGAAATTGCAAATGAATTGTGTATAGAAGCCACAGAATCCCAGGTAGGACTTCACACCTGTAACAGTGGTCGGTCGGATCCAGTTACGAAGGGGTTTGATTTTGTCAGGGTCCGCTTCGACACCGGAGGTAGTGAGAATGTAACCCAAGTATTTTGTCCTGGTGACGTTGAACTTGCATTTATTCAAGTCTGCTTGGAGTCCAGCTTCTTGGAGACGCTGTAGGACCTTATGCACATGTTCATGTTCCGTAGAGTCCTCTGAATAGATTAGGATGTCGTCTAAGTATGTGGTACAGAAGTTGTCTAAGTATTGCATCAGGACGTCATTCATATACCGCTGATAGGTTGCGGGACCATTCGTTAGTCCAAATGGCAGCACTTTGCACTTATAGGGTCCATAGCAAGTCCGAAAGGTCGTGTACTCTTCCGAGTCAGGGTGCATCCATATATGATGGAAGGCTTGTCTGATACCTAGCTTCATGAAGATTTTTGCTTTCGACACCCGTCCTAGTAGTTCGTCAATACGCGGGATGGGGTAGGGATCGTTCCGGATGAGAACATTTAACTTCCGGTAATCGATGCAAAATCTTAATTTGCGATCCGCTTTCTTTACGAATAGTATTGGGGATGCGGAGGGGCTATTACTGTTTACAATGAATCCTTTTTCCAAGTTTTCCAGTAGGTATTGCTTGGTAGCCTTAAGCTCTTCAGTGCCTTGTCGATACAGCGGGGAGAAAGTGTTTGGTAAAGGGGCTTCGAGCTGTATCTTGTGGTCGTATATGCGGTGCTAGACAAGTTGAAACTACACCCTAATAAGCTCAGGATCTTCGCACAAGGCTCTTTAGAAGTCATAAATGCGATTAAAATGTGTCTTTAGCTCTAGGCGACATTATATAAACCAATATGCCCATCATGTCCTAACACGTTTTCCCCCCTACGAATTAAGTATATAATTTTCCACATCTTCTACACTAGAAGGCTAAGATGCAAACCCTCTTGCGTCTATATCTAATATATTCCGAACAACCACTTCTTCTTCTTCTAGTTTAGTTAATTATGACAATTGGCTTGGGTTTTAGCACGACGTTTTTCGCTGGCCATTCTATTAGATAGTGCCATGTACGGGACTTTGTAGATTTTAGCAGCAGAGCGACAACTAAGTTTTTTTAATAAACGAATAGCTTTGATAGCTAAAATGATTCAAGCTTCTTAAGTTTTAAATCCATTTGTAGTTGTAGAGAAAACACATGTTAAAGTCAAAAGGTAGTAGGGTGAAGAAAAGTGATTGACTTAGTGTCATGATTGACTTGGTGTACAACCATGTTAATATATTAAGAAGTCATTACTAATATATTAGGTGTAATATTGTAAAACACTTGTATATCCTAATAAATAATCCTTCTATGCATTTTTAAATACAGACTATATTTAGTTAACATTCAATTGTTTAGGTGTGAAGTATTATGAATATCTAGATCCTAGTATTTAGAGTATGAATCATACTTAGTTATTAGAGTCTGATTTCTAAAGATAATTAATCTATAGAAGCTAAGAATTACTGTATCTAGTGGTAACTAAGGGAGAGTCGTGGTTAGGGCAGAAGTGAGTTTAGCATCATGTCATTAAAATTAAGTAACTAGTACGACTGGATTTCTTCAGCTATTTCCTTTAACAACTAATGCCATAGAGAATAACCACTAATCAGGGGGGGAAGCAGTTTGCGCCACCTCGAAGCGAGAGGAAGCGGTTTGTGCCACCTCAAAATTGTGACCACAAGTACCTAGCCATAGTAATTTGTATGTAAAGGTACTTAAAAATTCAATTCTATGAAATTATCACTTCTTCATTCCCACTCTCACTCCCACTCCAACGCCCACTCCCACGCCCACCCTCACTCGCACTCTCATATTCGCTCCCAGAATCAGCTTCTGGGTCAGTAATTGGGTCCTGCAACTCCGGAGGAATTGGGAAGCCCGATTGGGTGAGCTGAGCCACTCTTTTCTTCCGGAGGCGCTCCTGTTTCTGGGCTTCAATTCCTGCCCGGCGGAGCTGCTTCTGGGCTCGCTTTGCAGCCTGGCTCAGCTTCCAGGCTTCGGCTGTAGCGAGCTTCTGGGCTCGGTTTGCGGCCTGGCTTAGCTTCCGGGCTTCGGCCGCAGCGAACTTCTGGGCCTGAAGCTCGGCTTTCTGCTTCTGAAGCTCGTGGGCTTCAGAAGCCCGGAGCTCACCTCCACACTGGAGTCGGCCCCGAGCCCGCTTCGTCTTCGAGCTCTTAACCTGCTGGCGAATAGCCCGTAGGTCGAGCTCCTGGAGCTGGCCGGCAGCTAGAACCTGGGAGGCCCCAGTAACCCAGTTACTGTAGCTCTGCCGCGAGGGGCTACTGAAGGCCTCTGGAAGCCGGTCTTTCCAGTGTTGTAGGCCCTGTTCTACGCCCTGGAACGTAGTGGGTATAGGGGTAATAGGGCGTGGTAGGGTAGGTGTTGTAGGCTCTATAGGTGTAGGCGTAGGCTGCGAGTACGTACGCAGCTTCTCAAGGGCTGTATTACAGCTTATGGGCCAGATTCCAGCTTTCCGGAATGCTGATTGTATGGTGGCCTCCTTAAAAGTCTGCTCCCGCATATGTGGGAGATCCCTCATAAATAGGGGTAGGTTGTAGGTAATATCCACCTCTCGTATGGCACGGAGCACGGATTTCCTATGCCAGTGCTTATAAGGCTGGAATATTCTCACATCTAATGGCTGTAAAACGTGTGTAAGGTGGCTGGGAAACGCCCATACGATGATGTGATATTTAGTAGCCATAATGATAAAATCAGGGCTCGTATGGCTCACATGAGAATCGAGTAGTAGAACCTTCGGATTTCCCGGGTCGTGTGGAGCTGTAAGCTCTACAAAGTGCTGTAGCCACCGTATAGCAAGCTGGCTATTAGAATAGCCAGTCTCCGAGAGTAGTATCAGCTCATTCCCATCAAGGTTTTGAGGGTACCACGCCTCCATATGAATTTTACCCGGTACAACAAGTACAGGTGCAATCTTCTGTCCAACTGCAGATACTGCCTCTATAATCGTAATAGATATACGATTCTCAGGGCTTGGAGTGTAGAGCTGCTTTACAGCTCGGGGGACCATAACTCTCTCACCTCCTGGAATTCCGATCCTAAAACCAGTTTCGTCCATATTCCAGATTGACTCTGGTTTTATACCAGGCTGTAGTACTAATGCTGTGTACTTTTGAAACCACTTAATAACAGTAGGCTTCTGTTGAGCTTTCGTACGCTGTTGTGCAATAGGCTTTGTAGTAACAAAGTGAAACTCTATAAGCTCATTCCGTATATATTTAGTGAGCCAGCTCTGTGACGGTAGAGGCAGTGGGCTCCGTAGGTGGCATACTGCCCCATAAACCATATGCCTATTAGCCCCTAATCCTAGGTGTTACTGCTCTAGAATCCAGGCCTTTAGGGCTTCTGTTTGAGCTGTAGAAAGCACCCTATTCTGACCCCCATTTTGGGTAGTTCTGGTGGTTCTAGTGGTTCTTGTGCGGCTGATTTTTGACCGTATAGTCAACCTTGGGATCTTAAAAATCCGACTTGCAACAGCTACAGATTCAGAGGGATTTGCTGCAAGCCATTCACAGGCATATGATAGAGAAGTCCCTTCCATTAAATGAATTGCATTTAATTACTATATAAATTACTATGGGGGGGAATGCCGAAGGTTTTGGTAAGGAGTAGCGGTGAACGTATGCAAGTTGAGGTGGCGCAAACCGCTTCCTCTCGCTTCGAGGTGCGCAAACTGCTTCCCCCCCCAATTAATTGTTAGGTTCTTAATCCACTTTAGAAGTATCACCTCTTATGCGCCTAACAAACTCTTCTGTTGCTAGCGAGCTTAAGAGCATGTTAAACCTCCGTTAGCATAATGTGTTATAGAACTCTTAGGTAACCCTAGCACTTTCTTAGCATGATATATGCCTTGGACTTCCTAGATTTAACGTCTAATACTGCTTAGGCTATTAAGGTTTCACGTTTAGCAATACCTAGATATTCGCAACAATCTATTGTTAAGTTATTTACAATTATCTGAAGTTGGTAGGGTAAATCCACTGCATTACCTAGTCCCCTGCATTACACTGCCACTTACGTTATTTAGTAGTAAACTATAAAAATGTATATTTAGCTACAAAATTCATTATATTGGGTGTAAAATGGGGTGCGTCACTCGCTTGCGTGCGTTACTCGCATGTGAAATACGTTATTCGTAATGTATTAACAAAGCCATAATAATGAAGTGATTTTGTGACCAAACGTACAGAAAAGGTTGGACTATTTTGAGGCGTGCACCCAGAGCCAAGTAAGCCTTGTAAATAGCCTATAGCAAAAGTTAGGAATCAATTATCAATATATTAGGAATGTATTACAATATCCTTCAACTTTTCGGCCATCTTTGCGTCTTTGCTGGAGGTTATGCAAGGTTGTAGAGCTCAGAGAGAATGGGCAAAGGTGAAGCCGAGTCGGATGAGGTTGTGGTGGTAAATGCCGTTTAAGCGAGCCTTGGCAGTTCATTTTGAGTTTATCCTAGCGTTGACCCTGACCTGTATCCTTCGCCGATGGTGGGGTATTTGCCACTAATGATTTCGCTTCAGTTGGTCGGCATCGCTGGGGGAGGAGGGAGCTTAAGTATTTAAGTTCCTTGGGGTATCTCCAAAGTTCCATTTCACTTATTGCTCCGATCGTGGTATATTTGGACGAGGAAGACGGCAATAGGTAACCTTACGTTTTGAAGCTCGTTGCTCCTACGTATTTGATACCATTCAACTCGACCAGCCACCATGTCGAATTCAACGACAATGCCTAAATTCTCCACCAGCAACATCCAGCCAGCGTGGCAAGCCACTGTGGAAGCCTATTCCCCGCAGTTCCTCGAAATATGCGGCACGCTCATCGTCCAGCTCGCCTTTTTCTGGATCCCCTGCGCCTTCTACCAATCCATCGATATCCTCTTTCCCACCTTCTCGCACCATCATAAAATCCAGCCCGCCCCCAAGGCCACCCCGCCAGAGCTATGGTACTGCTTCTACATAGTCGTGCGCAACCAGGTCATGGCCACAGTCCTCCACGCCGCTCTCCTCTTCGGAATCTCCTACCTCGGAGAAACTTCGTCCTATCGCATCGACACCTCGCTGCCCGGGGCCATTGAAATCATCCGCGATCTAGTCGTCTGCATCGCCATCCGCGAGGTCATGTTCTACTACTCCCACCGTCTGCTGCACCAGCCGCGCTTTTACGTGCCGATTCACAAGTTCCACCACCGCTTCGTTGCGCCAGTCGCAATGGCAGCCGAGTTTGCTCACCCCTTTGAGCACATCGTGTCTAACATGCTGCCCGTGTCGCTGCCACCGCAGCTAATTAACGCGCATATCATCACGGCGTGGCTGTTCATCGCGTATGTGCTCCTCGAGACGGTTACGGTGCACAGCGGTTACGATTTTGGTGGAAATATGGCCTCGATGCATGATCTGCACCATGAGAAGTTTATGGTCAACTTCGGAACGGTGGGGTGGTTGGACCGCTTCCACGGGACTTACAAGTCTGAGGCAACGAAGGTGGATAAGAAGAATTAAACGAGAAAGAAAGATACACTGGAATTGTCGCTGAGGATTAAACGACGAAATGGTCACTGTAGGGTTGTATGTCAGAAGGTGACTACTGTAAAAGATATTTCCAAAGATGGGGAAATATTAGGACTCAGCGCAGGCGGCTCAGATGGAGCTATGATATAATGATATGCAGCGGCGAAGGGGATGGATGGTATTGGAGAACAGACATACACAGGCGGTGTACGTGCACCCAATTTGAATAAATCATCGATATATTATCCCACCCCACAGTCCAGTTCTCCCACCCTTGCTCCAACCAAGTGGAAAATCCACACAACCCGTCCAACCAGTGTTCGGCACGGATACCAATATACCCGTGGTATCCGGGTATATCCTCGAGTATATACCTACCCGGCGATATTTTAGGAGTATCCGGCGTATCCGGATACTCTCGAGTATATATCCGGATACATGCCAAGAATAGCCAAGCGCAGCCAAGACCTCTTTTTTCCAACGTCGTGAGATCTATATTGATGCTGTATAAAGTGATAATTATCCTCAGAATGAGCGACTCGTCGTTATCAGATATACCAACGGAGCCTGAGGGCTATAATAGCTATGATACTCATAATGAGCCAAGTCTGCCAACGCTGCCGCCCCCTATTCATATTCAACAGGATATTAATCCTACACCGCTCCGGCTTCAGCCTCCAGGACGAATGCTGCCACCAACGTCGTCGGTACTATTTACGAAGCTATTATATTCGCGATTGATACTTGATAGTAACCCACCTACAGTCAAAGTAACTTGCTTACAACCAGGCTGCGGATATTCACCTACTCCGCAGCTATTAAGTCAGACTTCAACCGGTAATCTTTGGAAGCACTATACGCAGAAGCATCCAACAGTAGCATATACAATGAAAGGTCATACAATTACGCCGTCAAGCCCATCAAGTAGTGCATCGTCATTTTTTGAGCCACGGCCGCGGAACCCGCAAGTCCAGCCCGCTCAAGCTCAAGCATCAAATAGTAGAGCGAAATACCGAGAGTTATTACTCTCATTCGTTGTATCAAATAACCTCTCCTTACGACTTATTGAGAGCTATTCGTTCCATCAATTAGTACAGTTCTTAAGCCCAAGTACTCTATCGATATCGTCGCGAACACTACACCGAGAGCTACAGCGGCAATTCTCATATCACCGAGGATTGCTACAATTAGAACTCCAGGCTCATATTACCTATGGCGGCCGGATATCTATTACAACAGATGCATGGACTGCACGGAACTATACAGAGTACGCTGCTGTCACAGGCCATTGGATTAATGAGAAGTGGCAGCACCGGTGCGTATTACTTGATGTAATCCACCTTCAAGAGCCAATTCATAGCGGCGAATATCTCGCTCAAGAGTTAGCTGCAGTAACAGATAGCTTCAAAATTACAGGTGCTATATTTACTTGTACGCGGGATAATGCCTCAGCGAATACTGTGATGCTTTCAGAATATGAGAAAATAGCCAGTAAGCAGCAGACGACTATTCAACAGCCATGGACGTTTACTGTAAAGGAAGGGGACGTTCGGTGTATTGCTCATATTATCAATCTTGCAGTTCAAGCTACTCTAAAGAGCTTGAAAGCTAGCCCGGATACAGAAACAGAAGCGTACTGGCGTCAGCAAGGGCTTGCCCGGATTCCGCAGCGTATTGATAACTCTTCTACTGAAGTATCAGCTACGCTTGAGAAGCTCCAAAGGCATATTTATGTCTTTCGAAACCGAAGAGCATGGAAGGATGCTTTACAGAAGCAGATACAAGCTGCAGGCCAGAAGCCACGCCAGCTATCACTTGATATGCCTATACGCTGGAATTCAACGTACTATATGCTTGAAACAGCTATAAAGCTTCGAATACCAATTACTGCAGTATGCTCTACGCAGAAGCTTGATATCAGTATGAAGGATATTGCGTTAACAAGCAACGATTGGGCTATTATCGAAGCTCTTGAACGATTATTCTTAGTATTCTTAAAGCCGTCAAGACGGCTACAAAGCGATTCATATCCAACGCTCAACTTTACAATTCCTCTTTACTTAAAGATGATAAATAAGGTCACATTACTACAAGAAGAGCTTGGTAGAAGCTCTACGATCGGAGTAGCTTGTGGAGCTGCGCTTCAAAAGCTTAATGAGTATTATACTCTTACAACGAATCGGCAATGTAAGCACTCAGCTGTTGCTACAATTTGCGACCCACGAATGAATCATACAGTATTTAAGAAGATATATCCAAATGCTATAGACGATACACGAAGATTACGAGCAAGAGCGCAGTTCGAAGACGTTTGTAGAACGTACCAAAAGCGAGAGTATCACCTTGATACGGAGCGAATTACTCACGAAACAGCTCTTGCAGAAGCAATAGGTGCTACTGCTACAATAGATCAAGAACCTGATTCTGACGAAGATCTATTTGCGTCAGAAGGCTTGGCTTTTCAAGAGCCAGAATGGAGGCGCTGGATGCTTGAACCACGGCCCGGTGAGCATACTGATATTCTCAAATATTGGTGCGCAAAGCAATACCAATATCCAGTTATTGCCCGTATTGCTCGTGATCATCTAGCTATTCCAGCAACATCTGCAGCATCGGAACGAGTATTTAGTAATGGTAGTGATATTATTACAAAGAAGCGGAATAGGTTATCACCGCCAACTATTAGATATTTACTTTGCTTACGGAATTGGGGTAAAATACGGGAGGCTGATAGCGACGGCGATGATGCTGACGATGAAGCACCTGAATAGGGACTCGCAGAAAGGGGGGGTCTCACGGAAAGGGGGCTCGCGGAAAGGGGTTTACTACTATTATCAAAAGCTTCATTCTTTTTTATATACGCTATTCTATTTTTATATACAATATTCAGCCTCATGTATCCGGATATATACCCTACCCTACCCGTCAGATCGTCGCCGGGTATATACCCTACCCGTGAGCTTCACGGATACTACCCGGATATGTATCCGCCGAACACTGCGTCCAACAGCGCCATAATCACGAAAGAAATGCCTTAAAAAAATCCAACACGAACACCAGCCTTGCCACAGGATCCACTCACACCCCTACTCCTCGAACCCATTCGCCAGCGCATCCGGATCCTCCAGCTTCTTGATGACCCTTGCGGGCACCCCAGCCTCAACACAGAAATCGGGGATATTCCCCGACACCACGGCACATGACCCGATCGTGCAGCCCTTCCAATCGTTACACCAGGCAGGATGACAACGTTGGTGCCGATCCAACAGTCGTCGCCAATAGAGACGGGGCGCGCGTAGAGAGCCCCGCACGCCGTGGCGCGACGTCAACGCCGTGGCTTTCTGTAATGATGGTGACGTTGGGGGCGATGTGACAGCGGTCACCGATTGTGACGGGCGCTCAGTCGTGGATGGCGAGGCTGGACTGTGTTAGCTTTGTCCTGTTGGATGTCTCGGCCTTGTTGGTGGTGGTTGCGCGAGAGGCTGCGCCGGGGTTTGTGTTGGGGAGGGGGACGGGAACGAACATACCCATGGTTTGCATAGACGGTTGAGCCGATGAAAGTGTTGCAGCCGAAAATGGCGTACAAGGGCGTCTCGACGACAGAGTTCTCCCCGATTTTCCCAAGTGCTTGCTTGAGTATCTCAGTGCTGCTGCTTCGGAGCTTTGCAAGACTGATGCCGGACTCGTCGAGGCGCGCTGGGTCGTTGAACTTGCACAGGAGCCGCATGATTTTGAATTTGTGCTCCATCATTGCTGGGGCATTGCGGGCGTCGAAACTGGTTCTCGTCAGCTGTGCGTCCGAGGTACAGAGCGAGGGACTCGACATACTCCATGCCTGATATCATATTCTCAAATTCGTCACACCAGGGTGCAGGGCTGTTGCTGGTCTTGACGAGGGCGATGTGAGAGTCATTCTTGGAAGAGGCGGGGCCCGGGCAGCTTGAAGTTCCTTTGATACCTGCGCTCTCCATGATGGCGTTTTGGAATTCTTCGTCGGAATCGAACTTTGGCGAGGAGGCAGCCATTGCGATGAAGAGGGTTAAATATATATCGAGTGCGAGGAAGTGAATAAAGAGGAATCCTCGCTAGGATTGTTATGGCAAGGATTAAAGTGAATAAAAATCTTTGTTGGTGCTTGCTAGCCTTAAAAGTTCATGAAGAGTCAGGATATGATTCTAAATGAGGATTCTCAGCGCTCTGAAAGGATGAGTGAACTCTACGCGACATCGGAGATCTTTACAGTTGTAAAATGCACGGAGAAAAACGAAGGTGATATATGACCGGAGCCTTCACGTCTCGAGCCTTCCTGTCACAATTCGAGGCTGTCGGGATGGTTGGACTGCATACAGGGCCAACGATCATCTGGCGTCTAGAGGTCTACGGGGCGACGGGAACTGCTCCCCGGACCAGGAACAGGGGTCCTTTTGGTGTCGGGGCACAAGAGATCTTCCCCCGCAACATCGCCGTGCAGGGGCTTATGCCAATCATCAAACGCACAGTCCCGTTAGATTTCACGTCATCGACGCTTCCACGGCCGCATTTATCGTATCATTGGTGGTACAACACGGCTTTCACATAAGAAATGATTTTTAAACTACCCGACCTTAAAAATACGATTCCGGGTCTTGCGGTTTTTGTTTAGGCCGGGAATCTTCTCCACTGAGAAATGCCTAACTTGTACGAGTCATTTCCAGTCCGGAGCCCATTCTTATGATGTGTGTATTCCGCATTAGCGTGGTACTTGGACAGAAAATTGTAAGGGTTGTAAACCTAAGGGTCTCATAGGAGTCTAGGGAACCAGGTTAGGAGGCAGGAAGGTGTCATATTCTGGAAGCACAATAGGCCTACGTAGATACAGCGACTATTGACTAGAGTCCTTCTTCCGAGGCCTCTAGTCCCTTTTATCTAGGCGCCCTATGCCCTAGTTTACCAAGCCCTACGGGCCCTGCTAATAGGGGCCTCACATAGTGGCACGTGATGGCCTCCCTTACAATTACCTCCCCCCTAGGGGAATTGCCCTCAATTCCAAGGCTCATTAATAGGGCTTGATTGCCCTTCTGTTTTCGTTCGGACTGTTTGTTAGGCCTAGGTGGTGGGGTATTAAAGATCGCGCTTAGTAGCTGGTCCTGTGACCCCCCTTGTTGTTGGTTGCTGTGGCCACCCCCCTTTGTTATAGGTGCCGCGCCTAACTCCTACTTCCTACTTCCTACTAAGCTTCTCTCTACCTTTACCTTCAACCCCACACCGCTTAACCACACCTTCTAGGCCTCGCCCTTCTAAGCCTGAACCTATGCAGCCTACTAAGCTTAGGAACCTGTTTGGCTAGAAGGTGGCTCCTTGCTGCCCTGTCCCTAAGAGTGTAGGTGATCCTGTTGCTAGTGTTCGCGATTGTTGCACTAAGTGTGCGGATTCCTACCACACCTTCCCCTGTTACGATGGTCACGGAGGTCATGGTGCCAGTCCGGGTAAAGTAAGCTAGATTGAATCTAAAGAGAGAAGAAGAAGAAGAAGAAAGGAAGGTGAGGCTATTCCTTGTAATATACAGTTGTCCGCTTAGCGGTTGTAGCCTTGGTGGCTAAGGCTGCACCCGTAATCCCCTATATACTGTCATACTGACATTCGTTGCACTCAGTTTGCTATCAAGAGCAAACTTAGAAATCTCCTCCTCAAACCTACAAGTCACTATACATATTTTGGCTTATCACACCAACAACAAGAGCAATACTACTCAACGATTGCTACAACCCTCTATAATTCATTACACGTCATCGCTCCTTAGTTACTGGGCCGATATTACCACATAGCATATCTCTACAACCCTCTATGATTCATTACACGTCATCACTCCTTAGTTACTGGGCTAATACTACCACATGACATATCTCTACCAACTAGAGGCCTAGGAACATGAACGATAGCTCCAAAATCTTCTACAGCCCTCTATGATTCATTACACGTCATCGCTCCTTAGTTACCCACAAGATTGGTTAAGTTATGACATAATTTGTCTATAGGGGTACTCTGACCTTGGACCTCCTTTCACTTCCTATAGGCTAGAAACCTAGGAGATGGTTCTATGGGATTCTCTTATGTTACCAAGCCTGGTTAGTCATGGAAAGTCTTAGAAAATGAGAGAACTACACTCCTTTAGCATAAATAGGATTGCCCTTTCCTTAAGAAAGGGCAAGCAGACAATACAGTAAATCGACTATCACATACTTCTACATCTTTTCCAAGCTTCCAAGCATTGATCTTGTTATTCCTTGTTTCTGAAAAGTCAGTGAGGTGCTAACCTCTGACTTATCCCTGAGTTCTCAGACTCAACATTTGTTACAACTTATCTAAACCACTCCACTACATCATACACCTGATTGCTGCATTGTGGAATAGTCTAAGCTACAACCCTTTGGCTCTGTTTCCTAAGACAGTGTGTTGTCTTGGTAAAATCATCCCTTCGCCTGGGTGTCTCACATCTGGTGCACCCACCATTACAAATATGACTAGAATGGCACTATAATTAACATCTATAGGTGATTTCTAGACTTTTTGCATGACTTGGGCTCAAATACCTTCCGCAACCACTCAAATCCATGACTATTTGAAGTCTAGCCACTACTACTAGTTGAAAGTGCCAGTTTGTAGATGTGTCCTTTAGAATCTAACTTGAATTGGTATTCTTCACCTTGAATATAATCATAGGTAGTAAAGCACCACTGTCTGCATCAATGCATTCCAAGCACAGTTATCCACTCCTGCTTCCTAGCTGTCACCTTCTAATTAGATTTCAAGGTTGAATCAACAATTATACGCGTAGATTGAGTCTCTACAAAACCTATCTCATCCATATTGTAGATGTTACATAGCTTGTACTTTCACTCCTTAATTCGTGCCTTAAACGCATTAAACCAAGCTGAAATCTTTATAGGAGTAGCTTCTTTATATCGTGTAGACTCTAGTTGTCTTAAGTAGATGCCTTTAAAGTTTAGTGTAACGCTGACTTCTAAACGATAGAAGACACAGAGGTTTCTTGCGTAAGGTTGACTTGACAGAGGAGGCAGGGGATTAGACACAAAGGCTTTCCAAGTAACACGTTACAGTATTGTAAAGAATACTATATTGAGTTGAGCACGAAGCTCCTATCTAAGGAAATACTATCTACTTATATAGTGGCGTCATGCCAAAGGGATATCCGTGGATAACATGGATAACATAATATCCATGATATCCAATGTTATCCATCACCTGATATTCCATGGATCCCTGTGGATAACATGGATAACATAATATCCAAGATATCCAATGTTATCCATCACATGACATTCTGTGGATTGCTGTGGATAACATGGATAACATAATATCCATGATATCCAATGTTATCCATCACGTGAGGTTGTAGCTGTAAGCGCTAGCCATAGCACTAGCACTTAGCCGTAACATTTAGATATCGTTTTAGGAATCTGTAGATCCATCTGTGGCCTATTAGGTAGGATTGGTCTAAAGGGTCATTTAAGAAGATGTGATTTAGACACGTTATACACGAACTTCTTTAGCGATTTCCTTAATCAACATAGGAGTTGCAGGAAAACCTATGGTAATAAGACGTGTACTCTACTGTGTAAGTGTATTTTCTTTGGCGTTCAAAAGAGCTTGTTTAATTTCGTGAGCTATAGCATGCATTTTCTTCCTAGACTTCCTATTAGCAAGAGTTGACTTAGGAACTTCAAAGTACTCTATAGCAAGTCTCATTGATTTGAATTCCTTTAACTAAAGTGCAACAATGGCTTTTTAGATGTTGCCTTTAATTTGAGCATGGCTGTAAGGTTGTAGATGTTCATAGTAGACAGTGTGAAGATTCTAAGCTGGTAGTAGGGCATTTTTGTCCAACTACACCATATGTCTGACTTCCCTATATGTTATGTTACTAGTTACTTAATTTTAATGACATGATGCTAATCTTTTTTTTCTGCTCTAACCACGATTCTCCCTTAGTTACCACTAGGTATAGTGATTTATAAAACAGCATCCCTATCTATAGGTTGTCATTAGACAACAGATCAAAACTATATGCATGGATGGTGTTACAAAACCAGTGCTTATAGCATGGTTTGACATGTACACTAGGGTCGTTTAATGTTAGGAATTAGGAATTAGGCAAGAAAATACATATAACATAACGTAGTTCACAAGCGACCTGTCATCTTAAGCAACCTGTCATATTTTTCTTAGCATTGTACAAAATTATAAAAATTTCTTAATAATTAACTAATTAAATTATTCTAACTCTTCAGCATTTAAATCATTAGATGTATCTACAGTATTTGGACAAGTACGTACGTTATGACTAGTTTGTTTGCAACATCTATAACAACGTTTTTGCAGCTTAGTTTACTTCATACAACTCCTACTTTCTCACAAATCAGCTTGTAGTTGTATATTAGCCTCTCTTTGAGCCTCTAAGACTTAGACAGCTTTGACAGTAATTGCTCCTCCTTCTTGTAATCAATGTTTTTTAATACGACGACGTCAACTAAGCAAATGATTTGCTTTGCGAATGTAATGGTGGATGCACCAGATGTGAGAATCTAGCCACCCAAGGAAAGGGATGATTTTACTAAGACAACACACTGTCTTAGGAAACAGAGCCAAAGGGTTGTAGCTTAGACTATTCCACAATGCACCAATCAGGTGTATGATGTAGTGGAGTGGTTTAGACAAGTTGTAACAAATGTTGAGTCTGAGAACTCAGGGATAAGTCAGAGGTTAGCACCTCACTGACTTTTCAGAAACAAGGAATAACAAGATCAATGCTTGGAAGCTTGGAAAAGACGTGGAAGTATGTGATAGTCAATTTACTGTATTGTCTGCTTGCCCTTTCTTAAGGAAAGGGCAATCCTATTTATGCTAAAGGAGTGTAGTTCTCTCATTTTCCAAGACTTTCCATGACTAACCAGGCTTGGTAACTGTAGTCGACGTAAGAGAATCCCATAGAACCATCTCCTAGGTTCCTAGCCTATAGGAAGTGAAAGGAGATCCAAGGTCAGAGTACCCCTATAGACAAATTATGTCATAACTTAACCAATCTTGTGGGTAACTAAGGAGCGATGATGTGTAATGAATCATAGAGGGTTGTAGAAGCTTTTAGAGCTATCGTTCATGTTCCTAGGCCTCTAGTTGATAGAGATATGTCATGTGTAGTATTAGCCCAGTAACTAAGGAGTGATGACGTGTAATGAATCATAGAGGGTTGTAGAGATATGCTATGTGGTAGTATTGGTCTTGTTGTTGGTGTGATAAGCCAAAATATGTATAGTGACTTGTAGGTTTGAGGAGGAGATTTCTAAGTTTGCTCTTGAGTTGATAGCAAACTGAGTGCAACGAATATCAGTATGACAGCGAAGTGTAACATTTTCTTCTTGCAATAACGTCAATTTGTGTATTGCACTTACTGCACCCTTTGCAACCTAATTAATGCTTTGTAAAAGCGAAGTTGGCGAACTATTCCGATGTCGTACAATCCGCTCCTTAAGGTATGCTGATTAAGATTGTGTCTCAAGTACATTACGTAGAGTTTTAGGTTCCTAGATCACAGGTAGAGTTGGCATAGGCGTTGGCGTATGAAGTCGAACGACAAGCTTTGAAATCACATAGTTCGGATCATACAGAACAAGCCCTATAGCACGAAATCCTGCTCGAATGTTTGATTCAATCATTGTCATAGGAAACGCTGTATAAAAGGCAGGGAAGAAATCTTTTTTTAAGATGTGTGTAATATGCATGCGCATTAACTTCTCGATCTCAGTTCCATACGAATGCTTACTCACCTTACAAGATGAGTGGTGACAGGACACTCCCTAGTCTAGCCGCCTAACAAAACAAACAGCTGAAGCGACAGAGGGAGTTGTCTGTGAACTGACTGTTATAGAAGGGAGAAAACTTGTGCTGATATTGCAGGAGAACTTAGCTTGCAAGGTATCGACATCTCCTCTATGATGATATAGAGGGTTTTAAGGACTGCTAGCTTCTAGAAAACGAAACTGACGAGGAAGCCTAGTTGACAAAGAAGATAAGGGTGGAGAGATTAAAATGGTACCTCAACCATTAGCACTAGACACTTAAGGATTAGAAAAATGTAATATAGTTAGACAAGACATCTATGGTACTAATCATAGACAGGGAGGTACAGATATAGAGAAAGGCAGATGAGGCATTTTTACAGAGTTGCATAGGGAACGGTAGAAAGGATACTCAGAATTTATGTTTTGGGGATGTTTTACTTACGACAAGAAAGGGCCCTGTCATTGTTAGATCCTAGAGACAGAAAAAGAACGAGACGCTATAGAAGTTGAAATACATGCAATGAATAAAGAGTTAGAACCAATTTTATGAAGAATGGGAATTATCAAATGGGATATGCTGAATATCTTTATGCAATCTTCCTAGTACAAAGCCGCTATAGAGATGGAAAAAAAAAGAATGGGAAGTTAAGACCATCTAGATACTGTTATACAAGAAGGCAACGCTCCATTACACAATCATTATATTTAGTAGCGAGTATTTGAATTACATGGCATTGATCGCCTCTTCTAGTGCGCTAATTTTCATCCATAGCTAACACGGCTCGATGACATTTAAATCTAGAGAGTTAGCACTACAAGGGGCGGCACTAAAAAGTCGACTAGATGCAATACAAGCTTAGGAGACCTGTTAGGAAGATCTTCCTTAGTCGCAAATCCAAGCCTAGGTCGAGAGGATTCCTCGACATATCTAGAAAGTCATCGAGCTAGAAGGCGGAAATGAGTACAAGGAGGGGCGAGAAGAACACTGATTTCATAACTATGCACAGAACTAAATTGTGAGCTCTGGCGTTTCCTAGCGTGGGACAAAACTTTTGAACGCTTCCTCCGTACAAATACATGTCATCCTAATTGGGTCGTTTATTACGCTTGCGGTTTTATTGTTGCCTTTATGCTCCAGTTGACCGACACATGGTCAAGCACGGGATTTGATAGCATCACGTATGAAACGCAAATTTCATTGTCGGTTTCTCTCCTAAACGCCACATACATTCCGAACGCGAATAAATATGATAATATCCCTTATTCTTTTGAACAGTCGGCGTTGTTTAGGCTTTAAGCCAATGAGAAGCTTTCCATGGTCGAATGAATAAACTACCATTGTTGAAACCAACAAGGAGACAACGTGTGAAAGGAACCAATGGACCTCAGACATTTCGCTCCCCTCTGAAACGGATACAATGTGTTTATGTTCTCTTTATTTTAAGGTTGCATATATAGTCCTGAAAAAATCGAGGACTTCTCTCAAAATAACAAGCTACACCTCCAGCACACACCAGCACACAAGGGCCAAATTACCTGACGTAAAAGCAAGCCGGACTTGCAACTAGCACATCAAGTACAGGTACTTTTGTTCCATCCCAAGAATGACGACTCCACTAACCTTCGGCGTAGAGCTGGAGTTTGCTGTCGCCAGCACCCATCTTAACAACAACGACCCCCACCCCGCCCACCCAGGCCGCATCCATTTTGCGCGGCCCGAGCAGCGCCGTCTCACTCCTGACTCGGAACAGCGTGCCAGAGTCCATGAAGCTATTTATGTCGCTTTGCACACTGCCGGTCTTCCGATGGGCCCCCAGCCAATCTTCGATTACATGACCTGGTTCGTAACCGATGACCTGACCATCGATCCTCCGCACAGAAATGCGCCCTGTAACAGCGCAGTCTACCGCTGGCACTCTGCTGAAGTTATCTCGCCGGCATTATACTTCCGCCCCGAGTCACTAACCCAAATCCGCGCCGCCTGCGCAACTATCTCCACCGAGTTCCGTGTGGCAGCCACAAGAACTACAGGATTACATGTCCACGTCGGAGATGGCGCGGACAGCTGCAGACACTATTTCCTCCTCACCGCCACAGCCAAACTTGGTGTATGCCCCTGCGCGTCGACTCGATGTACGCATGGCTTCATCCTAAATGGACCATTAGCACCCTTCTTGAGGACCTATTCAGCTCTAAATTTGGTACCGTTGAAGCTCTCGTGCGCGAATTTCAAGTCTGCGGTGGAGATCGGTGTGCTGTTGAATTTTCTAACCTAGATGACCCTATGGTCGCCATCAAGCAGACGATCGAGTTCAGGGCTCATCCTGGGACGCTGGATGGGGATGATGTGGTTATGTGGGTGAAAACTGTGGTAGGGCTTGTGCAGTGGGCTCGAGAAGCTCATTCGAACCAGCTTATGTCCCTTATGGCGTACGTCGAGGCGGGAAATGATGAGTTTAGTATTACAAGCTTACTGGAGATGTTGGGTTTACCTGAGCAGGCGGAGTTTTACAAGGGAAAATTGCATCCGCTTAAAGTGGCGGAAGAGAATGCTGGCAGAGAATATGAGATCCAAGATCTCGCAAGGCCAAGAACGGACATCTTGGAAGCGTTTGGAATTGGTGCTGATGGGGTAGCGACGAGGGATAATTGGGGGAAGGATCTAATTTTTGACCCATATTACTGAATCCTGGCGCTTCAAGAGAGTATGGACAGAGGTAGGTTAGCAAGTGAGTCAGCATCAGGCAAGTTATTTTATACTGTTTTCCCCCATTTCACATTTTCCGCAGTTTCTAAATAAAATAATTGCGTATTGAGTAAAAACAAACAAAATCGAGGAGATTCCCATACATATTAAAAATGCATTATTCTATTCAATAAGGTCACTAATAGGCGATTTTTTAAGATTACTAGACATAATGTAACGGGGTGCCGCCGTTATAGGACATGTGGTATATAAAGCGTGTTACGCGTATTCCGGGCGAGCCGGAACACTGTAGTCTTTTTGGCTCAGTGGGATGTAGCGCGAGCGTAACCGTACATCATTACACATAAACACCGATCAAATACTTTACTACCGCATCTAGACCAAGCAATTTTTTAAATAGGCGTGTTAAATGTTGTACATGGCCATAACTTGGGCAACTTTGTCGAGGGTTGTCTGGTGGTGTTTTGGGGCAGCAATAGTTACGGCTGCTACGGCAGAGAAGACTGCGAATACTTTTCTCTTCATCTTTAGAGACGAAACTGTTGAGATGTGGTTTTTTGGCAGTCTTATGGGCTTGTATCCTTGCTTATTTTAGAAGTTCAGATAGTAGACCGTGGGGGGAAGGATTGGTAATTATAGTTCTGGGGAACCAAAATACGGGAGAGTCCGATAATGATTTCTGGAAGCCCTCAACGGCTCCACTACAGACTGCAATGATGTGATGGAATTGCAGTAAAATAAGCGCTGGTAGGACGGGGTAGAAGGACAGACATTGCATGCCACAAACAGCCTGCGTCTTCCTGCAATTGGAACATCAATCAATCGTTTTACTAACCGGTTTCAGCTACTGGTAAGAGGGGGTCTTCAGCAGCACTGTCTACGAGACAGGCCCCTATGAAGGGTCTTCTTTTGTCTTCTCTGCTTCTTGCTTATTGTTCACTGTAATACATAATAGTTATCCTTATTGGAAGCTGTGGTTGCTGTTGAGTAAAACAGGAGACGTAAGGCCACCGAGCACAGTGACAGTGTGGTGGACCGTATTGGAGCGGGGAAGAGAGGTTCGTGCTTTCCAGTGCCATATCCGTGGTTCCTACGAATCGAATACGCATACTCAGGATGAAGTCTCAAAATAAAACAGGCCTGTATCCAAACGAGGTTGTGATATGGTGAACGGCTCTCTACATTATGCATGCAGTTCGACTGTGAGATACAACGGCCTCTGTAAGCCTGTCGGAAATATTCGTGTTACAGTGTTTGTGATAGCTGAAGCTGTGGGGAAGGAGGTCTATGCAGACCGCTACTATCGGAAGTCCAAGTTCTCGACGGGCTCTTAATCCTTCAAGATGTACGAGGGTGCAAGTTACCGATATAGTCTTCACCTACTCGGGCGTCGATTTATCTTCTAGCACTGAGTGAGACATAGTCATACTGGGTAATCATTTGGCTCTTTGTGAATTCAGGTATTGTTGCTGCTGTTGTCGTTGTTGTTGTTGTCGTTGTCTGAGACAATTGCATTTTGATTCATTTCAAAGTGGTGGTTAAGGTCAGGGTCTCAAAGCGTTGCCCTTTATCGTGATGCTTTATGACTGGGGAATTTGCAGAGAGGTGGGCTCAGGTTGGTGGGACATAACAGCCTCTGAGCCGTGAGGAATGATCGTGGGGCATGATTGTGGGAAGTGGATTCGCGCGGGGTGCATGTTCCCTATTCCGCAGGCAGATTCTCTACTCTCTGTGTCCTCTCCTTGATTACTGAAGACGAGTTTTGCCCGGTCAGCCACCTTTCGCAACCGGCAGCAGTCTCTTCCCTTCTCGCGCCAACTGCCAGACGGCTCAACCAGAGGTAGCCATGAATCACTTGACCATTGTCTGAGCTCAGCAAGTGGGTTGGTTAGCAGGTGCATCTTCAACCGATCGCACGGGATCCTGTACAACAGCCCGAATGTTACACACATCCGCATCTGAAACCAACCCCAAGGTCGGCAGGGAACCTGGGAATCCTTTCGACGTTGGTATGTCGTGGAGCTTGGGGTTGCCGTACACGCATAGTCAAGGAGCCATAGTGGGGCAAGATCGGCAAGTTCGAAGTGATGGGATAAGGATAAGGTCCAGTGAGGACAGAAGGCGTTTTCCGAATCGATTATGTACCAACAGAATCTAAAAACATCTTCATGATGAGGCTTCGTGCATATTCCGAGAGACTTCTCTATTTGAAGCGGGGGCCGCTGGTGTGTACAGGGAGAAACGAATAAAAGGCATTCGCGCAAAGAGAAACGGTGTAAAACCAAGAAAGTTGCAGACAAAATGGAACCAGTGTATAGTGTATGGGTTTTTCAGCTGGATAAAACTTACCGTAACTCTCAAGTCATATCGCATCACATAATCCACATATTTTCGCATCATAACTGCAATTGTGAAGCCCTTTGCATTCATGAAAGTACACCTAAGTAATCCTTGAATGCAATAATCTGATGCAGATCCACAACCAGACTTGCAAAAACACCATGCCCATACCCTCACATTTATTTCTTAGACGCAGCAGCCTCGTCAGCCTTGTCCTTCGCCCGCTTCTCACGCGCACCGGCGTATCTTTGCTCGCTCCTCGAGTCTCTGAGCTTTCTGTAAGCACCACCCTCAACGGCAGCTGGGACGTCGCTCTTCTTAATCTCGGTAACGGCAACAGCGGCAGCGTGGGGGAATGCGGCCTTGGTGCTCTTGGTGTACTCCTTCTGGGCGGCGGAGACCTCCTCCTTGGAGGCGTCTCCGGACTTGGCCTGGCCAGCCTTTCTTGGGAAAAGGATGAGGCGGGCACGGTAAGCCTTGAGGCGCTCGACGTTCAGGGTGACGGACTCGACGGAAAGGTTCTGGCGGCGGGTGTCGACGGAGATACCGATGGTGCGTGCAAGCTTGCGTGGGATGGCGGCCTCCTAAAAAACAGTCAGATATCCGGTCTTCTTCACCTCGCGCGTCTGCGCTGCAAATTACCTTCAGCTCCTCAAGGGAAAAACCACGTCCGGCTCGGACACGGCGGTTGTACTTGACAGTTGGGCAGCGGACAATTGGTCTCAGCTTGTCCACTGGGCGAGGGGCAACAGCGGCGGCCTTGGAGAGACGTGCATTGCGGCGTCTGAGCTTACGACCTGGCTATTGTGGGTGTTAGAACTTTTCCTGGTTTCGTCTTCCTTCGCCCCGATCTTGTTTCGGGCATCGCAGAGGGTGTGAATGTACCTGGTCGAAGTGAACGCGAACCCGACGCTGCCAATCCTTGCGGAAATCTATCCATCAACAGTCAGTACCTGGGTCATTCGAAGCGCGCAATATTGCTGATGATGTTCTTACGGTTGTGCGGGATCTGCTGGTTGTGCTTGATGGCCATTTTGGTATCAAGTCGTTGCCGTTGTCGTTGGTCGTTGTCTTCGTGGGAGTTCCAAGTCGGAGGAAGAGGGAGCCACAAATTCGTGAAATCTCGACTGTGTGCGCCCTAAGCGAGAAATTGCCCAAGCACAATTGTGATGTGGGTAGCGGGCAAGAATTCACGTGCCGCTTTTAGAGCACGGGCCACCGAACTTTTTTTTCGAATTTATTTTGGCAGATCACGTGCAAATTGAAATGGTAGATGGAACTGTTTGTTGGTTCCTCAGGCTGCAAAACATCTTTCAGGCGCTAGCTAAAGTTTGCAGTGTTTGCACTTGCCACATTTCCCGATTGAGACTCGCTTAGTTCCTACCAGTTCAGTATAAATATCTGGCCTCCCCCCTTCGATAAACCTCTTCTTTTCTTCTTCATACTTACCTTGTGATGGCCAGGATGCTCATGAATATCCTCGGCCCTAATGCGAGAGCTCCATTGCACATCGGGGACTCAAGCATCGGCCAATATCCTTCGGGGTCTTGGATCGCGGAATTTTTGATTGCACTCCCTTTGGGAACCCTTTTCATTGAGATCATGGCCTGATGCCTTGGCTTGAAGAAGAGCACCACAATCTTTTTCCGACGTGCAAAATAAGAGAATTGAAACAAATTGTGCTTTTTATTCTAGTATAATGTATAATCGTGGTGGTAAGCGATATGCGTTCGCGATAAATGTGGATGCGTTCACGACATTTTACATAGTAAATTAACTAAAATCGCAACTTCTTCATTTTCTATAGCTACTATTTTACGTCCTTTTTAGTAATTAACAACTTTATAACTCTACAAAAGTTAAATGCTTCTAGTATAAGTAGCATTATATACATATATATTATCTATTAAATTTAGGAACGCTAAAGAACATTTAAGGTAACGTATTTCATAGGCGAAGCGATCACTGAACTTCCCACCTACAATTGAGAAATTTACAAGATAATAACTCAACAACAACTTCATAATATATATTAAAAATGTATTTCTAGCCTTTCCTATTTAGTTGAATTTGTACCTAATCATTTAGGAATAATCTATTCAGTAGTTCTTAAGATATCACGTTTAGGCACTGAAATTTAGACTAGGTCTTTATATTTCCTAGTCTAATTGCTTTAAAGCTTAAAATAAAAAAATCTACGTGTATGTATAAGGATACACACACATTTTTAGAATATATTATGAAGTTGTTAAGTTCTTATCTTGTAAATTTCTCAATTTTAGGTGGGAAGTTCAGTGATCGCTTCGCCCAGGTGATCGCTTCGCCTGTGAAATACGTAGTTTATATACGTTTTTATTAAAAAAAATTCCACTACATTTCTATCTTTTATTACCTTTAGTCATTTTACATATAATTTACTATATAAAAGTACCTGTAAATTTTGGTAATCGCGAACGCACAGCGCTTACCACCACGATTATATATATAGCTTCGTAATATCAGGCTGGTGCAATTTGGATGATCATAGTAGATCTGTGATGTTGGCACGTACTCTCTGGTGAGGAAAATGCTATCGTATTCATGGTTTCTGCAAAGAACTATAACAGTAGTCGTGTTTGAGAGACCTTCATATGTCATATCCAGGCATGTCAGGGCCTCCCATCTGAATAAATTTGGGTCGTTCCTGGCCCAATCAACAAGGTTCCATCCCATCAATCGCCTGTGTCGTTGGAATACGCGGCGGCAAGGGGCAAGCGACATCTGAAGTATCCTCACTGCTATACCATGACGTTGCCGTGGTACCCCGCAACGCAATTCCTCTCTGGAGCGAGCTCGCACGACCAGATTGTCCATATCCAATTCCATAGCCTTTCAATACCTATTATTATTTTATGTATAGATTTAATATTATACCATCTATCAAGCAATTGGGCTTTCTACATTTTGAGATTAAACCTAGGTACCATAGCTCAGTCTTCGTTTCGTGATCTCTGTTCTGCGAGGCTGAAAAGAGGGGTATTGCATGCACAAACAACAGATCTCGGTGGCATGCTAAAGAAATACCACAGAGAGTTCAGAATAGCATAGATATTGTATATTGGTGTTTAAAATAATGGACGAAGCTCTGTTTAAATAAACTAGGGTTCTCTGTTCTGGAATATAAAATGTATATATGGAAATTTAATATTATTTGTAAAGAAATTAAATCCCTTTTTTTTCCCACATGTAAACCACATTGTAAGATTCACCCAACGGTAGGTACCAAACCACTTGAGTATGAATAGATACGTAATCAGAAGCAAATAAAGCCTACTATTCAGCCTGTAGCCGTGGGATTGAATGGGTACAAGCCCCAAAATGAAGCCCATGCGTTGTCATGATTCCCCACACGTGATGGGATAATATCGTCACCCCGCACACCGCCGCACTTAACACAGTACTCCCATATCCCAACATCAAACACCCTCACACCTAAACAGCTCCTGCACTACCGCAAAAATGCCCGTCGGAATCAAGACCGTGAGATCCGCTGTCCCTGCTACACATCTGGACACTGCCTAACTGTTTCCAGCCGTCGAACCAAATCAAACTCACAAACGTTTCGTTGGTGCGACTCAAGAAAGGCAAGAAGCGCTTCGAAATCGCATGCTACAAGAACAAAGTGCTCGAATGGCGCAACGGCATCGAAAAGAACCTCGATGAGGTCTTACAAATCCCGAACGTCTTCGTGAACGTGTCGAAGGGCGAGACGGCGAAGAAGGAAGACCTGGCGAAGGCGTTCGGGAAGGACGTGAAGCAGGATGACATTATCTTGGAGATATTGAACAAGGGCGAGCTGCAGGTTGGCGAGAAGGAGCGCGCAGCGCAACTGGAGCGTGTCCACAACGAGATTGTTGATATTGTGGCGGGAAAGCTGGTTGACCCGAAGACAAAGAAGGTGTATACTACTGGGATGATCGAAAAGGCGCTGGATATGGTCAGCGCCGCTGGATCGCAGGAGAGGCAAGAGAAGAATGCTGCCGGAGCAGAGGCCCCTGCTGAAGGGGAAGAGAAGAAGCATCTGCCAACGTGGACTGGAGTCAATGCTACGAAGAACGCAAAGAGTCAGGCCCTGGAGGCTATTAAGGCCCTGGTGGCAAGGCAGCCCATACCAGTTGAGAGAGCCAGGATGAGCCTACGGATTACATGCCCGATGAAGGAGCTTAAGAATACGTTGAAGGGCCAGAAGGTCGGTGGAGAGGACGGAGAGAGGAAGATGACGGTTAAGGAAAAGATTCTGGAACTGGTCGAGCAGATCGAGAGACAAGAAGTTACCGGGAGTGAGTGGGAGCTTGTCGGTTTCGTGGAGCCAGGAGCATACAAGCTCCTGAGTGATCTTATTGGAAGCGAGACAAAGGGTGCTGGCAGGATCGAGGTTTTGGATATGGCAGTTAAACATGAAGATTGAAGGGTTGGTGAAGCGAGTGACCAAGAGGAAGGTACGGGATACGGTTCAACCGCCCCATGGCTTCGATTCGATATATTCACGGAGGCTGAGCAACTGTCATATTCTGAAAGTGGCCACTGATGGGAGACCCAGGCAGGAGAGTCTGGGCAAGCCCCAGGAATCCCTCCCGAAACAACTCGTATGGAGGGAGAGGTCTTAATAGTTAAGCGGAAGACAGAATCCGAACAAGATATCCCCCATACTCTATTTCGTTCAGCATGGCTGCAAACATCATTGTACTCGTGCCGGCCAAATGTCTGAAGAGCGACTGGGTGACATCAGTGATTACAACAACTGTAGTTAAAATAAAGGCTTGCAACTACTCGGGCTATGATTGTCATATTCCTTACTCAAGAGATACAGATAAAGAGGGAGATACTATCTGCTTAAATTGCTGGCACCGATCCTCAGCTATGTACATACAGTAACTTACAGGACTCGCTGGGAGATGCCCGAAATATCGACACGTGACATACTTCCTAGGCAAAAACATACAGCTTACGTCATTTCCCGGATAAGGCCTCTGAGATGGTGCAACCTGGCGGATCCGAAGTGAACAGTCCCCAAATATAACTGCAGCAACTGTAATGGAAAAGAAAGGGAATAAAGAAAGACCTTTAATAACTGGCTATAATTGTTGTATAAGATCCTCAAATAATAGAGCACAAAAGGGATATACTATTAGCTCAAATTGCTGGTATTCCTTCTTAGGTACATAGAGACAGTTCAACCGGTTCCCGCCACCAAGGCGTTAGCGTAGCGATAGCAACGACGCTAGCCATCACACAGTCATTCAGGCACCGCCCACCGCCCACTTGCCCCATCGACCATCGTCGCCACTACCAAGTGCGTATACCTTCCACACCATCTCCCCTCACCATTCCCAACAACATCAATCGTCAACCAAATATTGATACAGACGATGAAATTCCTTGCCACTACCGCCCTCATCGGCGCTGCGACCGCTGCTGTTGCTCCTCAGCAGCATGTCTTCAAGAACCCGCTCCACCAAGAGCCGATCGTTGGTGACTCCAAGGCAACGCCTTCCTGGAGCTCATTGCTCGGTCCGCTGGCGGAGAGCATGAATAACATGGGCGCTGAGGCGAAGGCCGTCTGGGACGAGGTGACGATGATGTTCCCCGAGCAGATGAGCAAGGCAAACCTCCTGTCGTCTCCGAAGCCAAGCAAGAAGAGACCGGATAGCACATGGGACTACATCGTGAAGGGTGCCGATGTACAAGGTGTTAAGATTATGAATGCGAATGGCGAGGAGGAGAGGGCTATCGATGGCAACCTTGAATCGTACAACCTGAGAGCTAAGCACGTTGACCCAAAGAAACTGGGCGTTGATACTGTGAAACAGTACAGCGGTTATTTGGATGACGAGGAGAACGATAAGCATCTCTTCTACTGTAAGCACCTGACAACCCATGTCCACGAGTCTTGATTAACAGTATTAGGGTTCTTTGAGTCTCGCAATGATCCGGTCAACGACCCCGTCGTTCTCTGGCTCAACGGCGGCCCAGGCTGCTCATCCCTCACTGGCCTCTTCCTTGAGCTTGGCCCATCATCCATCGATAAGGACCTTAAGCTTCACAATAACCCATACTCTTGGAACGCCAATGCATCTGTCATCTTCCTCGACCAGCCCGTTAACGTCGGTTACTCCTACAGCGGTGGCTCTGTCAGCAACACCGTTGCCGCAGGAAAGGACGTATATGCACTACTCACCCTCTTCTTCCAGCAATTCCCGCAGTATGCGAAGCAGGACTTCCACATCGCTGGAGAGTCATATGCCGGCCACTACATCCCAGTTTTTACCTCCGAGATTCTCTCGCACAAGAAGCGCAACATCAACCTGAAGTCGGTTCTCATCGGCAATGGCTTGACTGATGGTTTGACCCAGTACGAGTACTACAGGCCTATGGCCTGCGGTGATGGTGGCTGGCCAGCTGTTCTCAAGGAGAGCGAGTGCCAGTCTATGGACAACTCCCTTGCACGCTGCCAGTCTTTGATTGAAAGCTGCTACCAAAGCGAGAGCGTCTGGTCTTGCGTCCCTGCCAGCATCTACTGTAACAACGCGATGATGGGTCCTTACCAGCGCACTGGACAGAACGTGTACGACGTGCGCAGCAAGTGTGAGGACAGCTCCAACCTGTGCTACTCTGCCCTTGGGTGGATCTCTGAATTCCTCAACAAGAAGGAGGTACAGGCTGAGCTTGGTGTCGAGGTCTCCTCGTACGACTCGTGCAACTTTGACATCAACCGCAACTTCCTGTTCCAGGGTGACTGGATGAAGCCCTTCCACCGCCTGGTCCCGAGCATCCTCGAGCAGATTCCAGTGCTTATCTATGCTGGTGACACCGACTTCATCTGCAACTGGCTCGGTAACCGCGCCTGGACTGATAAGCTCGAGTGGAACGGACACAAGGACTACAAGTCTGCTGAGACGAAGGATCTAAAGATGGGCGAGGAGAAGACAGGGACTGTTAAGTCGAGCGGGAACCTCACATTCATGAGGATCTTCGCCGCTGGACACATGGTGCCAATGAACCAACCCGAGCCCAGCTTGGATTTCTTCAACAGGTGGATCGGTGGTGAGTGGTTCAACAACTAAATTGTTGTGGACCATATATAGTCGATTGATTTGGGTTTGGAAGGTGTTGGTGATTTAGGATACTTTGGACATAACATGATTTGCATTATTTTTAAATTACATCGTCTGCTGCCATTATTTGAGTATAGTTGAACTGTATTGTGAGTGCTACCTCCGTCAATATTTAGCGCTTGTGGAACGGATAATCACGTGGCTACACAATATACTGTCAAAAATATATTTACAGCATGATTACCATAGTATAACACTGTAGTTAATCCGGATACCGTTTTCAAGTAAACTTTGGTTTCTGACCTCGCCGGAACTGGTCTACTTGTCATCCCCAATGCCATTTCATCGAGTTATTGCCAATAGTCAGCGCTTACCTCTCGGGCATATTTTACGTGGTGCTTGAAAGAATAGAGAATGTAAGAAGAGTTACTACGAGCGATTGAAGGTGCACAAAACGTTACGGAGGAACCGAGCGGTGTTGCACACGGCGGCAGGTCAGCTAATCCCGCGGAGTTTTGGACAATTGATCCGTAGCCCACAATTCCGTCTGGAGAGACAGAACCACAATCACATAGAACATAAGGAACCGATTGTTTTTAATTGTTTTCAGATTGACACAGCGAGGTAGAGGACACCCATATCCCAGCGTCTGCTGAGGAGCGATACACCAGCATAAAAATGCGTGCAAGCCCTTGCTATGCTATACTCCGCCCTCCCAATCCATCCCAAACCCAGAACGATGCGCTTAACCTCCCTTCTTCTTGGAGACACCGACGGTGCGGCCCCTGCGTCCGGTGGTCTTGGAGTGCTGTCCGCGGACACGCAGGCCCCAGTAGTGACGGAGACCACGGTGAGCGCGGATCTTCTTCAGGCGCTCGAGATCGTCACGGAGCTTGGAGTCGACGTTGTTGGCCAGGACCTGGTAGTCCTTGCCGTCCACGATATCGCGTTGTCTGTTGAGGAACCAGGCGGGGATCTTGTATTGCGTGGGGTTCTGGATGATGGTCACGATGCGCTCGAGCTCTTCCGAGGTGAGTTCTCCGGCACTGTTGATTCAATTAGTTTCTGTGTTGTTTGACCCATCTAGTCCATTGCGCTCTTCAGACAGTGGACTGCATTGGGGATGCATACCGCTTGTTGAGGTCAACATCAGCCTTCTTGCAGACCAAGTTGGAGTAACGGCGTCCGACACCCTTGATCTTGGTCAAGGCGTACATGACCTTTTGCTTTCCCTCGACATTGGTGTTTAGAAGTCGCAGGATGAACTGGAAGTTCGACTTCTCGGCCGATACGAGAGACATGATGGCGACTGTTGTGGTGAAGTCGCTGTCGCTATCGAATCTTGCCAGAGGAAATGTCGTAAAAGCTCTGGACGTGAAGAAGTGTGCGGACTAACCCTTAGCGTGGAATTTACAAGCGAGGTCATGTGACGACCACCTGGATATTCAATCATCATTCGAGGCGGCGCCAAGTGGGAGAACATCGACGACCAGCCATCAAGATCACGATTTAAAATAATAAAATATTTCCGGGAGTATCCGGTTCTTGTTTCCTGGTTTGATCCGATTCGTGTACGATGATGCTATTACCAATTTCTGGTCCTGATACATCGTGGACCTGCCTGTTATATCCATATCAATCAACCCTGCCTGCCTTTCATCTGGAGTCTGATATGACAGTTTTGGGTTCTTGCTTCCGGATCCGAATGAATCCGGCATGAGTTACTACCTTACCGGGATTTCACGTAATTGAATAAGGGTAGCACGACGGTAACGGGGACCGTCACCAAAATGGGCTGGTGTTCCCACGGTTTTTGGTGCGTGCTCCGGTGGCACCACCCGTTTCTCATGCCAACGGTGATTCCTCTCAAACGGTCAACGCCAAGCACCAGTAAATAGAAAAGAAGCCGTAGTAGAATAGTAAAATTGACTCACCGTTTTCGATCCTTCTTCGGTGGCCCGGATTGGGCTGTAATTGCTCGTAAAACCGAGATATATTGGCCACGGTGATTATGAATATCCACTGAAGTCGCCTTTGCCTCGGTGATAGCACCATTTTCGAGGCCGTAAACGGTGATGGCGCCATCTTCAAGGTATTACGGATGCCAGAAGTCGGCAGTATACTCGGAATGAACCATCGCCGGCGTGGCCAGCAGTTGAAAAAAGTGAGAATCGCACCCAAAAAGCAAAGCGCGGTGATAAAAGCAGTGCGGTGATAGGAAAACCATACGGCAGCAAGAAAAGCATACGGTAATAAGAAAAAACCTTATTCTAACGTAGCTTCAAAAGGCCGAACAGAAAACAAGTGAGGGAAGCAGAAAGTGAGACCTACCGCGGCAGCCCGTATGCTGCAGTCGACAGGAAGTGTCGGTTCGTTCTAGTTGACAGGGTAAACAGACAAGCGGGCCTCAATATATACCCAAAAACCTGGGAAGAGGCTTTGGGAGTAGGGAAGCCGGGGCAAAAGCCGCCGTGATCATTTTGATTGTGGCGATGGGAGAGGTGGAACATATGGAAGCTAGCGGCACCAAGATGATTACGGCGAAGGAGCATGGGACACAGGGAAGCAAAGGAAAAGAAGGCATCAGGAACAATCTTATATTCTATATAGCTTCAATAATATAGCCATCATCCATGCAAATGCCAGCCGGATTGCCTCAATGTGATCATCTATTCCGCCCAGCCCGACAGCGACACGACAAGCAGCCCATGACATTCCAGCCATTCCATCACTCCGAAACCAGCAAGTCCAGCAATGCCCAAGCCCACACGCCGAAAGCACCAAGTCCAGCTGAGATGTGCACCAAGTCCAGCGGAGATGTGCACCAAGCTAAGCTCATACTCCCAAGCCAAGCCAGTATCCATGCAGCAAAGTGCCGCTGCCTAAAAGACCCCATCCATACTTCGAGTTTCACTCCGGCTCAAGCGGCGTTCATTCGAGACCTCCTAGTAACATAAGGGAAACTGGGAGGATGGCAGCGCTTTTACAAGTTAAAAGTGAAGCTGTAGATATAATAAATGAACTCAATTTCTATATCTATCTACCTATTCATATTTGTTGAAGGAGGAGGTTGCTCAGACTGATTGGTTAGGCGTGTGGCTCGCCAACCGAATCGGGTTGCGGACCACCCACAAATAGTTCCGTAGATAGCTTCACTCAGAACAACAATACAAAACATATATTCAAGTGAACTGTTGTTCAACTCAACGTGATAACTATGCCGCTGCAGATACAGATACACCACTGATCTCAACAATATTGCTCTATGTGATGTCGATTTCGATGCTTTGAATACGGCTTTATGAAAATAGGTGATACGTGCCTTCCGTATTTGGTGGTTTCTTCGCCCACCGTAAATTTCACTCTAAATTTCGAATTCTGTCTCCAAATCGACCTTTACCTATGTAAAGGTAGGATATGCCATCAGAATTGGCACTGTGAAGGTAAGTTCAATCTCATTTGAACGAGTATTCAAACTCTCACTTGTCATGTCAACCGCTCGCTCTCGAGCTTCATTCTGAGCTGTCGCGCTCTATTCTTCTTGGCTCTCCAAGGCCGCCAAAACATTGGCTGACCTCGCCACAACTTGCCCAATGTGGTTGGAGCTCTGTTTGGCATTGTCGAGGCCCTTTGAGCCTCTCTGAACCTTCCTCGATCATTTTCGAAGCTCGCATTCAATGCTGTCCAGAGTACTGTTGTCATACTGACATTCGTTGCACTCAGTTTGCTATCAAACTCAAGAGCAAACTTAGAAATCTCCTCCTCAAACCTACAAGTCACTATACATATTTTGGCTTGTCACACCAACAACAAGAGCAATACTACTCAACGATTGCTACAACCCTCTATGATTCATTACACGTCATTGCTCCTTAGTTACTGGGCCGATATGACCACATAGCATATCTCTACAACCCTCTATGATTCATTACATGACATCACTCCTTAGTTACTGGGCTAATACTACACATGACATATCTCTATCAACTAGAGGTCTAGGAACATGAACAATAGCTCCAAAAGCTTCTACAACCGTCTATGATTCATTACACACCATCGCTCCTTAGTTACCCACAAGATTGGTTAAGTTATGACATAATTTGTCTATAGGGGTACTCTGACCTTGGACCTCCTTTCACTTTCTATATGCTAGGAACCTAGGAGATGGTTCTATGGGATTCTCTTACGTCGACTACAGTTACCAAGCCTGGTTAGTCATGGAAAGTCTTGGAAAATGAGAGAACTACACTCCTTTAGCATAAATAGGATTGCTCTTTCCTTAAGAAAGGGCAAGCAGACAATACAGTAAATCGACTATCACATACTTCCACGTCTTTTCCAAGCTTCCAAGCATTGATCTTGTTACTCCTTGTTTCTGAAAAGTCAGTGAGGTGTTAACCTCTGACTTACCCCTGAGTTCCCAGACTCAACATTTGTTGCAACTTGTTTGAACCACTTCACTACATCACACACCTGATTGCTGCGTTGTGGAATAGTCTAAGCTACAACCCTTTGGCTCTTTTTCTAAGACAGTGTGTTGTCTTAGTAAAATCATCCCTTCCTTGGGTGGCTAGATTCTCACATCTGGTGCACCCACCATTACACCGGGCATGAGCGCTCCCTAGCCATTCCCAGGATGTCTGCAATGCACACCATCTTGCGCACCTCAATTTGAGGTATGTCAAATCGTGCACAGACTCTGGATTTGTATGGGGTTTTCAGAGTCCAAAGGGGGGGCCTTTGGATTTTTGAAAAAACAAAACGTGCATTTCCCCAGCCTGATTTTGGCCCTGTTTTGGGTACTTTGCTATGAGCACTCTGTGGAGTGTCTTCGGGCGACTATCATAGGTGGCACATACTTATGTATCGCATTACCAGTAAGTTTGACTATGTTTCCATTCTACAAGCTAGTGTGTCATGACACTCCTTCGATATTTGTGTCACGACCCTTCGATTCGCTTTAGTCTCTAGTACTTATTTCACTATGTCATTCACTTCACCTGCTTCGCTCACTTCGCTCACTTCGCTCACTTCGCTTCACTTGCTGACCTAGATCAGCCCAAATGTTGACTACTGGCTTAGGCTCTCTTGTTATTGGCTTGCTGCACTAGGGCTCGCTTAGCTAGGGTTCGGTTAATTAGTGCCTTCGCTTATTTGTGTAAGGATGCCTCCGTACCTAGATACTCAAAGAACCTGTCTCAGAACTGTTACAGTCACTACAAGCATGGAATCCGACTCGGTGGGGTTTCGAACCAGTAGAGGAGCATATAGCGAGTTACACTATAGTGGGGGACGGTAAATGTATAGGGTTCAGGGCCGATGCAGACCTGTTGCGGTGGAAGGCTCAGGGCTAGGGTTGGGATAACCGAGTCGGGCCCGTTTCGGGAGTTAAGGAAACAGACTCAACGGGGTTCCCCCTTCATCTTTTTTGTATCCTTCATAGTAGACCTATAGGATAGCATCCGTTTAGCCTCCGACTCGCACTCTCATATGCTATTACTGTGAGCTGGGTGCCCTGTGTCCTTACAATTTGGCACTAGGGATTTTTACTGTTATATAAGCACTTATTGCTCATGTCTCTTATTGATCTTTAGCTAGCAAATTATATACTATTTGGCCTTCTTGCAATTCCTCCTGCTTCGACTTACTTTGCATTCCCTTACTTCGAGTCGAACCACTTGGCCAACCTGTTAGTCTCACCACTTGACCCCTGTGGTATAAAGTATATGCTTTGGAGCCTGAACTACTATACCTTGTCCTACTGCTTCGAGTATCGAAGTCTTCACATTATACTTCAGATACTTCTGCAGACTTGAAGGTCAGCCTTGGTTCGAACTGTCCTTACACAGTGTCCCTGGTCATGGCCACTTGTGGCCGACTACACACATCAGTAGGTTAAAACTTCATGTTTGGAATGCCTCAATTCTTTTCCTTTTTATTTCCTTTTTATTCGTTTAGTGGATTGATATGTTTAGAGGTATGTTGAAGCTGATTTCCTCCAGCTTGGGCATGTGTTTCTACATGTCTATACTCAGTTAAGTCAGGTAAGTGTTTTTATTTTTATTTTCTTTATGTCCTTTCAGTTTTGGGTATATTCTAGCCTGGTAAGTGTCTATATTCTCTATCTCTGTTCGTTTTTGGGTATATTACAGCCAGTAAGTATTTTTATTTCTCTATGTCCTTTCGCTTTACCCCTCTTCTTTCCTTTCCTTTTCTTTCGTTGATACTGTCTGGACAACCGCCGACTGAGCTAGCTCCAGCGAGCCCAGTTTTTAAATCGGCCAAGTCCAGCGCCTTTCTCTTTCTTTTTGCTTTGCTCAGTTCAACCGTTAAAGCAGATCTGCCCGGTCCAACCTGCACCAAACTGTGAGTCTCCCAACCCCCCCTCATCTATTACATGACTACCAGCTATCTAATTTGATATAGATACTCAAGAACCACATGTCGACGTGGCAGAGTGCTACCACAAAGCCCGACATCGACCTACGAACTCGACACTTGGTAGCTGGCTACCCATTTCGACATATAAACGACACTTGGTGGCTGGCCGATGCACGGAAGGAAGGATAGGAAAGGATAAGACCTGGCGATGGTCTGAACGAACTTGAAATAAACAGCCTGGGGTAGGTGCGGGGTCTGGGGGTTGGTGCGCGAGAGCTATGATGCGAGCTTTCGGTGGCCGCTTGATGCCACAGCTCAAATGTGGCATCAGAACTTGGGTAAGGAGTGGCAGAAGGGTGGAGGATACTGGCTAGATATATCTATGTAGTAAATATAATGTTTCTGTGCTTATTAACTGTTTCCTGGCCGGTGAACAGTGATCTTGCTGTCACCGATACCACCCAACTACCATTATGCCACCGCTATGGCCGGTTTTGCCGTACCTGGGCCAAATTAAGGTGGTGATACCGGCGAATCCTCATTCACTGGCCATATATATCTACAGTAAATCACCAGTTTCACCGAATCCATATATTTACTGTAACGTGGTTTATCAGTACGTCGGACATATCAGTACCTCGGACACTTTTCATTGGCATTCTACTTTGAATATCAATAAATCAACCATAACATATTAAATTAACTATAACTAAGCGGAATCAGATGAACTAGACATATCTATAGCTTCTTGACAAGTTCGCGCATTATGACCAGCTTTTCCACAGATCCCACAGCATCGCCTAGACGGTTGCCCCTCCTTGTGACTACCCCCAACAGCACGTACGTCGCGTCGTACCTGCTCATCCACATCCTTCTGTGCGATAATAGCCTGTGCATCCTCTACTATAAGTGCACCTCCTTCACGGACACGAGCCTTTTTAGCCCTGCGGCGTTTGCTAAGGGCTTCGTTGGCTGCTCGAAGGGTACGTACCTCAGCAGACAGAAGGGTGTTCTCATGTGCTAGTCACTCCGTACCCTTTGCCAATGCAATAACTGTCCCGAAGAGTGGAGTTGGCGAGCTTCCTTGGTGATGGGCAATTCGATTTCGAACGAGGGTTGTTTGTGAAAGAGCTTCAGTTGGGTTGGAAGGGGTCTGGGAGACCCAAGGGTTGGTGTTGGCAGTAGAGGGTCTAGAGGGAGTTGGAGTCCGTAACCTCACGTCAAGCTTTGAAAGCACTGCTTGCGGGTCGAAAGGCACTAAGCCAGCTCCGCGGAACCCGGACTGGGCGTTTTGGGCTGTCATGGATTCCAGATATGCTGCTCTAAAGGCGAGAAAGAACTCGACCTTGGTAATGTGGTTGATATGAGCCTTAATGAAGGTCTCAATCTGCCGACCATATGCCCGCTTCAACACACTAAAGCACCCGACATCAAGTGGCTGAGTTAAATGAGACGAGTGGGGAGGTGTCATACTGACATTCGTTGCACTCAGTTTGCTATCAAACTCAAGAGCAAACTTAGAAATCTCCTCCTCAAACCTACAAGTCACCATACATATCTTGGCTTATCACACCAACAACAGAAGCAATACTACTCAACGATTGCTGCAAACTCTTCTACTACATCTGTTTATGCTACATACATCACGGCATATCATTTGGACACTCATTGAACAAGTTATTAAGAAAATCTCCTCCTTAAGGGGGTGGGCCAATACTACCACATGGCATATCTCTACCAACTAGAGGCCTAGGAACATGAACGATAGCTCTAGAAGCTTCTACAACCCTCTATGATTTATTACACGTCATCGCTCCTTAGTTACCCACAAGATTGGTTAAGTTATGACATAATTTGTCTATAGGTACTCTGACCTTGGACCTCCTTTTCACTTCCTATAGGCTAGGAACCCAAGAGATGGTTCTATGGGATTCTCTTACGTTCACTACATGATTAGCAAGCTAGTTGTGGGTCGCACTTGATTTCTAATACATTTACCAAGCCTGGTTAGTCATGGAAAGTCATGGAAAATGAGAGAACTACACTCCTTTGGCATAAATAGGATTGCCCTTTCCTTAAGAAAGGGCAAGCAGACAATACAGTAAATCGACTAGCACATACTTCCACGTCTCTTACAAGCTTCCAAGCATTGATCTTGTTACTCCTTGTTTCTGAAAAGTCAGTGAGGTGTTAACCTCTGACTTACCCCTGAGTTCCCAGACTCAACATTTGTTGCAACTTGTTTGAACCACTTCACTACATCACACACCTGATTGCTGCGTTGTGGAATAGTCTAAGCTACAACCCTTTGGCTCTTTTTCTAAGACAGTGTGTTGTCTTAGTAAAATCATCCCTTCCTTGGGTGGCTAGATTCTCATATCTGGTGCACCCACCATTACAGGAGGTAGTCCAAGAGTTATAATGTTGTGTGCCTTGCAGTACTCTTGGAACTCGGCCGATTCATGACTCTCGTGCCCGTCTAACACCAGCATTCGATATGGACCCCTTGCACGAACAGCAGTATGTTTGTCGAAGTGTTTCAACCATTCTAGACCCGTCTCATTGTTTGTCCATCCATTGCTTGTCAGTTTAACAACCCAGTTGTGTGGAAGGCCGCCGTCTGTATACCAATTTGCAAGATGATTCTTGCCTTTAACTACCAAAAATGGAGGAATACTCCAGCCGTCACTGTTGATACAAGCAATCGCTGTAGCCCATTCCCGATTCCCTGGCTGAACTGCCTTACCTCTGCCAAGTCGATCTGCACAGGTAACAACCATTGCAGGGCAAATCACACCCATCATAAACCCAGTTTCGTCAAAGTTATAGAAGTCGCAGTCCAAAACACCATATTTTGCCCTCATATTTTCCACTAGTCGAAACCATGCGCCAATTAGTTCAGGATCTTCGCACAAGGCCCTTTGGAAGTCGTAAACGCGATTAAAACGCGTCTTTAATTCTGGACGTCGTTGTACAAATCGGTGGGCCCAGAGCTTCCCGACGCGCCTCCCTCCACGCGATTCGAGTATAAAATTTGCCATATCTTCTACACCAGCAAGCCGGGGTGCAAATCCTCTTGAATCCATATCAAGTATATTCCGAATAACCACCTCCTCTTCTAGTATAGTTAATTTCATCATTGCAGGCCGGCGTTCGTAGACAGTAGTTCGGCCGTTCATTCTGTCGCAGAGTGTAGAATGAGGTACTTCATAGAGCTTAGCAGCCTTCCGACGACTTAGATTTTTTGATGTTCGGATAGCCTCGATAGCTAGAATGATTTTTGCTTCTTGGGTAATCACTGACATAATAAAAGGTGGAAAAAACGCGTTGTGAAGTTAGAGGGTAGGAAATTCGGGAAAAGTGTCCGAGGTACTGATATGTCCGACGTACTGATAAACCACGTTATATGACTACGTAACCGCTATTATAACGTATCCGTACAAGGCGCATAAACCGTTCACTTTAAATACGGTTGGCTCTGGGCACCCGTAGCTCACCGATCGCCCACCCCTACTTTCGCCGTAACTGTTAAGTCCAAAAAGCGATGGGAAAACCGTTCTGCTACCCTTATTTAATTACGTGGATCCCCGGTAAGGTATACCATCTCATAACCCAACCCATCGCAACCCCCCCTTGCTTGCGCCTTGCATTATCCCTCCCCACCCTATCTCCCCATACCTCTCCTCGCTTCTCATGTCTCACCTCTCACAAACAACCTCTCACCCCATACCCATACCCTCCCAGCACCCCCGTCGCGGGACGACCACGACCCGGCGCGCCGCCCCGCGGACCATCCATGGAACGTAGGTAGTGGCATGATGGGATGGAGGCTGAAGCTCGTATGGGCGTTCATGTGATGCGACACCTGCGCACCATCGCTGTGGTGGTGTTTGTTACGATGGTCATAGAGGTCATGATGCCAGTCCATCTGGTGTGGGATCGAAGGGGGGACCGTGCGGGGGGGGGTGTTCGAGGAGGGGGGAGGTCATGTGATTGTGGTGGTCTGGGGTTGAGGGGGGCGAGGATCAATAGCGTACAGTACAGTACAGTACAGTACAGTGCAGTACAGTGCAGTATGGTACAGTACAGTGCAGTACAGTACAGTACGGTACAGTACAGTACAGTACAGTGCAGTACAGTACAGTACGGTACAGTACAGTACAGTACGTATTCCCACGTACCTGTGGAAAGGGATGTGCTCCGGGGATGTGACCAATTGGATGGGAAGGTGCGACGGGGGGTGGGGGGGGGGGTGGGGGAGCGGTTGAGTTTTCTGGAATGGAAGGTTTTGGGAGTTCTGGAAGGTGGAGGGGGGGTACGGGGGCTACTTTGGGCCAGTGGGTGGTACTTGGGTTGGGAGACAGGAGGGTGAAGTTGGGATGGGAGGCTGTGAGTGGTTGGACTCGGGGGATGGGTGGGCAACACGTGTGGTGATGGTGGGCGGCCGGTGTTTTAGCATATTAAGGCGGTGGTGGTAATGGTTCAGCAGCCAGCGATTGACTCGCGAGGGAGGCGAAGCGGAGGCGTGGTGAGGGGATATTGGGATATTGGGATATTGGGATATTGGGAGCGTGGTTGTTTGGGTTTTTGTTGGGTGAGGGGGAGATGACGGGGACTGATGAGGGGGAGATGGCCGGGGGAGATGGTCGGGGGAGGTGGCCGGGGGTGATGACGGGGGTGATGACGGGGAATGATGGCACCGGGGGGTGCTGGTAATGTGACGACGCATCATCCAAGGGTACTTCTGTAGACCATACTCTATTATGTACCTTCCATGCAGGCCACATGTACCTTCCAATGCAGAGACACTCCCCTCCGCTTTCTTCCCTATACCATACCACGCCGTATTTGCAATGGTGTCTCGCCTCCTATTGGCTGGAATTGTGGCTTGCATTGGTCGCCGAGGACAAGACAAGAAGAAAACAAAAGGGAAAAAAAAGGGTCATCCTATTGTGGTCTAGTCTGGGCTGTTTCGGTCTTAGCGCCTCTCTTTTCTTCTTAGTCGCTTCTTAGTGGTTGGTTAGTTCGTCCTTCCGTCCTTCTTCCCTCCTAGCACTCTGTCATCTACTATCCACCGCCTCTAACCCTCTACCCTCTACCCTCTATCCTCTATCCTCTACCCTCTACCCTCTACCCTCTACCCTCTACCCTCTATCCTCTATCCTCTACCCTCTACCCTCTACCCTCTACCCTCTATCCTCTACCCTCTACCCTCTACCCTCTACCCTCTACCCTCTACCCTCTACCCTCTACCCTCTACCCTCTACCCTTTACTCTACCCTCTACCCTCTACCCTCTAACCCGCTATCCACCCCGCTATCCACCGCCTCTAACCCTCTAACCCCCCCTGCCTCTAACCACCCCTGCCTCTAACCCTCTAACCCTCTAACCCTCTAACCCCCCCTGCCTCTAACCCTCTAACCCTCTAACCCCCCCTGCCTCTAACCCTCTAACCCTCTAACCCCCCCTGCCTCTAACCCTCTAACCCCCCCTGCCTCTAACCCTCTAACCCTCTAACCCTCTAACCCTCTAACCCTCCTCCCTCATCCCCTTACTTCCCCATTTCTATCACAAGTCCAACAAGCATGATGCTGTTACTTTACCACGAAGGCTGCTACTTGCTACTTGGACTACTTCTCTACTTCCCTCTACTTATCGCTGTCTTAACCTCTTGTACCACCCACTGCAACATTTGTACTGTAATATACCTTCGACGCCTGTTAGACTCTCTCTAGTCCACGTATCCCCCTTGTACCACTCCATTACACCCCGATGTACTCTGACTTACTCTAGACTCGGTACTGTGGCCCGCACACGGTTGCGGGTCCAGTGCTATGTTTCCTTTTGTAACCCAATTCGCAAATTCGCCATCCTACTACAGAGAAACAGAGAAACAGAGATAGAATCGTCCGCCCTCGCCGCCGCCTTCCCGCCTTCCTGCCGGGCGCACTTTCCTACTTTTGTTCCACCTCCCAACCCTCGCACCTGCCGCCTCTCTCTCCCCTAAACTCCGGCATGCTGTTGTCTTGTTGTCTATCTGTCTTGCTGTCACCCATTACGCACTCTACCACCTTCCCTCCACATACACCCTTACTCACTCTACCCGCCATAACTTCTCTTCTCGCGCCCATTGACAGACAAGACGCTGAGAGAGACACACCAAGAGATTGCCACGCACTCCGAACACCATCTACCATCCACTACACCGCGCGCCCGCGCCCAAACCGACAGGCTCATCGCCATCCACCACCAGAGACACACCCACCACCTCCCACGACTCTCCCACAACCCCACAACCCCACGCCCTCCCAACCCCCACAGCCAGCCCATCGCCCACCTCGACCCGCCACGTCGGCCAGCACACACCTCCGAGCCAACCTCGCTGCGCCGCGCGCGCGAGACTGAGGATCGAGGAGCTGAGCCGCCGCGGCGACGGCAGCCATGGCCATGGACGCCGCGTGCAATGTGTTGTATTTGGACCGCTCGGCGCGCCAGGAGCGGATGGTGCGGAGGGGCGAGGCGATAGCGGAGGAGGCGAGGGCAGGGGATGATGCGGAGGCGAATGAGGGCGCCAGGAGGCTGCAGGTTAATGTGCTGACGCTGTTGGAGACGTTTAGTAAAGGTGCGTGGTGGCCCCCCGATTATGTGTGGTGAGAGTTGATGGCTAACTTTTTTTGGTGGGTTGTAGTTTATGTGTGTCCGACTGGATTGAGTTGCCTGGCGCGAATTGCGAGACTGAATAATGTGCCCACGGCGGGATTGGTGCCTACGCTGGTGCTGATTGATATACCCGAGGACGACGACGAGAATGAGCGCAGGAGGTCACTACCATGGCACGATGCCGGTATACTTCCCGAGTCTAGCCCTCCGAGCATATATGGCTCGCAACTACTACGGCAAATAGTTGCGGACGTGAAGGAGATAGGGGTGGCAAGCATGGTGCTTCCAGTTGCTGTGATACGGAGGCGCATAGAAACACCCACCAGCACGCCCAGGCCCAGCACACCTATACGAACTATACAAAATACACAAGCAAGCCACCCGCGGCCGCTTCCGATGGAAGTTTCATCGATGGAGCTACCGCCGGATCAAGCATCCTTCATGAAGTACATCGACCTTGGGGCTGTAGATGTCCTGGAAAACCCGATTCGCCGGGAGTCGCTTCCCAGCCTCGCCATCCACGTCTACCGCGTGCACAAGCAGTTCCTACAGCGTGGGGAGCATTTCACGGCTCCTACCCAAAAGCATCAAAGCTCTTGGCCTGGCGTTGCGACACCAGAGCCATTCGCCTACATGCGCGAGGTGATGGTTTGTGACCTCGCGGGTCAGATTTGTGGCACGATTGTGGATCATCCCCTCGATCCGGTGGTAATGAATGTTAGCAATGCGCGGAAACGAGCTGTGGTCAAAGGTATATCGGAATGGGGTTTCTCAGCCCACGAACTTTCAGAGGATGAATTGCTGTTCGCCACCGTGACGATGCTGGAGCATTCGTTGCAGATAGACGGAATGGATGAGTTGCGGTTACCCAGAGGTATGTTTAGATGCTTCGCCTTGGCTTAAGGCGGGCTCCGGGCCGATGATGCTCCCTCCCGTGCAACCCGCATGCTGACATCCGTTTGTAGATAAGCTGATCAACTTCGTCGCCACCAGCCGTAACGGATACAATGCCTTTGTGCCATATCATAACTTTAAGCATGTTGTCGACGTTCTGCAAGCCGTCTTCCATCTCCTTGTGCGAATCGGTACTTTGCCACCATTCCCTCGGGGCGCGCAAGTAGAGACGGAGCCCACAACGAGGTTGGTGGGCATGCTAAGGCCGTTTGAGGCGCTAACTCTCCTGATTGCTGCAATTGGTCACGATATTGGGCATCTAGGCGTCAACAATATGTTCCTTGTCAAGATCAACTCCCCTCTTGCGCGTTTGTTCAATGACAAATCGGTCCTTGAATCATACCATGCGGCGGTTTACTGCCATATGCTGAAGAGGCTTTGGCCCGCTGTTGTCGAGAATGAGGAAATGAAGGGGCTGCTGATCAGCTGCATCCTGTCAACGGATATGGGGATCCATAGCGTGTATATGGAGAAGTTGACGTTTCTGCAAAAGGCCATGGAAAACCTGAGCGATGCTGAGCCGGTGGGCGAGAAGGAACTCAAAATATACCGCGATATAGCGTGTAATATGCTGATCAAATGTGCTGACATCTCGAATGTGGTGAGTCTTAACCTGCCTACCTTCTCTTTACAGCGACTAACAAGCATAGGCACGCCCCTACGACTGCGCTGCCGTATGGACCGACATCCTGACGACGGAGTTCCAGCGCCAAGCCGACATGGAGGACCAGATCAATCTCCCCTCGACCCTCTTCTCCCCGCCTGCCCGTGAGATGATCGGCCTCGCTAAAAGCCAAACCAGCTTTATGTCATTCTATGCGCTCCCGCTCTTCAGGGGCCTCGAAGAGCTCATGCCCACGTTGGACTTTTGCGCCTTGGGGATAGACCGCAACTTCGCAGAGTGGACGTCGAAGTCGGAGAAGGCGAAGCAGCAGCTTGCCCTAGAGTCTGGTAGGAACAGGGAGGGCAGCAATGATAGCGTCGACAGCAACAACCCACCAGTCTCAGAGAGCAGCGCTGCGGGGGCGGCGAGAGGTTCGCGTCGTTCGGGCGGGTTACGGGGAGGCAGTGGGGCCGCTTTGGGTGATCTGTCGAGGGGCAGTGCGAGTACCCACCCCAGTGATATAGACGGTATCGACGCGCCGCCGCCGCTGTCTCGAGGCCAGCCACCGCAATACAGCAGCAGACCCAACTCGCGTCCCGTGACCTGGGACGAAGCCAGCGCCAGCTCCCGCCCCGCGACGAGCTCGAGCGCACGCCGCGCCCTCGGGATGCCCGACGCTGTTGGCGGCCAGGTGATGACGCACCGCCGCAGCGAGACGACGGACGGGAGCGCCAGCGTGCCGGATAGCGGGGGGTGGGAGGGCAGCGCGCGGACGGCCGATAGCGGGAAGTCGGAGGAGAAGGCGGAGTGTATGAGCACGGCGCGGACGAGCGTTGAGAGCTCCTCCGGGATGCGGGGGTTGAATGGGGTGAACGGCGCTGGCGCGAAGAGGAAGAGCCTCGTGGGTAGCATGTCGACGCCGGATCTGCGCTCGGATTCGAAGGGGAGGATGAGGCGCGTTGATGATGCGGGGAGGAGGGAGCGCGGCCAACGCAGGAAGGGGGAGAAGGGCGGCGACAACAACGGCGTGTTTGCGTCTATGCGAGAGCTGACGAGGCGGCCGAGCCTGGGGAAGTTTAAGTTCTGGAAGAAGAGGGGGGAGGTGGTGGGGGGGTTTGGGGGGAGGGAGATGCAGGTGCAGCCGCAGATGCCGAATGTGATGGGGAGGAGGGGGAGAGAGGGGGGGGTGTCGGTTGGCTGAGTTGGATGTCCCAAAGAAGGTTGTTCCTGCGTGTGTACTGTATGTACGTGGTCGCGGGGTTGTGGGGGGACCGGACCGAATGGTGGGGAGGGGTGTTTATATGGTGTGGTGTGGTGTGGTCCGCAGTGACCGAGAGTGTCTGGATGCGGGCGTTTTCTGGGCGCGCGAACGCACAGACGGCGTTTTATTTTTGAACGTGTGTTGTTGAGCCCACAACCACGACCAACGTCTCCCGACGTCGAGATTATTTTTTATACCTTTTTGTTTTTGGGAGAGAGAGAGATGGATGGGGTACAAAAGGAGAAATGGGGGAAAGGGGGAAAGGGTATATATGATTAACGGACGGGTGTGGATATGGCTTTTATGGCGAAAACCCCGAATTCTACCTACTCGATTGATGACGACGGGGACCTTTTTACACAACAATGAGATGAAGGTTTTTTACAAAGGGAATGGTGTGGATATGGATTATGGACATGACCTGACCGGAAGGAAGGGGGGGACCGACAGTTGGCGGGGATAAGAGGTGGAGGTTGTATATAGGTTTTCTACGCCCCGCTGCTGTGGTTTTCTTCCCCCATCATTTTTTTTATTCGGGTCGGGTGGTTTCAACTTTTTTTGTTCTTGTTTTTCTGTCGATATTCTTTTTTAGAGGGGGGTTAGGGAAGGAGGGGGTATTCATAATTGTGTTAATGGATTTTGGGTTGGGTTTGAAGGATTGGGAGGGGTATGGGTGGGGGGCATGGATTAGGGGTTGGGGGGGGGTATTGATACCAGACTATGAATGAATAGCAATCACATCATCACATCACATTAATTGGTAGGCACGCGTGCATGTATTATGGTGAGGGGGTTTGTGTCGTGTGTTGTGAGGGGAGGATATGAGACTACCTACCTTCGCAGAGTAGCAGGAGTAGTCTCGTCCTAGGATACCTGCGTATCTATTATCTACCAGCCATACTCTCCTCCCTGAAGACGTTAACCGTGTACGCACAGCTTTCGCCGTTAATGCGCGACATATCTCTCTCTCATCCCTGCGATGGGAGGGAGTTGCGCGCGGGGGGATCCATCCATGGGGCTCATCGTTTTTTTGTGAAAAGGGGGGGGGGGGGGGGGGAGATGGGGATGGGGATGGGGATGGGGATGGGGATGGCGGGGGTTATTCGGGGGGGTTGATCTCCTGGCCCTAGGGTTGTTGGGCTACAATACATCACATAACGTCGATTTGGTAGGCGTGTGTGTATGAGTTGTGAAGGGGGTTGTGTGATGGGTTGGGGATGTGAGATTAGGTTGAGGGTGGAGGTTCGGAGGGGAGTGTGTGTTAGGGGGGTGTTTGCGTGGTGTCGTGTGCTGTCTATGGTGATGTGGTGATGTTGATGGGTTTGGGGAGGGTGAGGACGGATCTATCGGCACTGGGGGAAGTCTGCGTGGCTTCCTCATCTATGGTGAAGTCGCTCTTTGGTGTTTCTTTTCTTCTCCAAATTGCAAGGGCGGATCAAACGGCATTAGTTCAGGTTTCTACGTGCCCCTTGCGATTCCTGGGTGTCTGTAACGATTACAGGCGGCTCACATCGAGTATCAGGATCGTCAAGGGGATGGGGTTTCTAGGGCACGGAGCGGGGTATGGTAAGGGATATGATGGTTTTCCATTTGCTCTAGCACGAACTTGTGCTGTCTATGGTGATGTGGTGATGTTGATGGGTTTGGGGAGGGTGAGGACGGATCTATCGGCACTGGGGGAAGTCTGCGTGGCTTCCTCATCTATGGTGAAGTCGCTCTTTGGTGTTTCTTTTCTTCTCCAAATTGCAAGGGCGGATCAAACGGCATTAGTTCTAGTTAGTAGAATATGGAGATAGCCATAACGTAGTTCACAAGCGAGTCGCCTACACAAGCTCACCGCCGATTATTCCTTGGCATCGTACGAAATCATAAAATATCTCAACAATTAATTAATTAAACTATTCTAACTTTTCGGCATTTGAATCATCAGATATATCTACAATATTTGGACAAGTTCGTACGTTGTAACCAATTTGTCCGCAACATCTACAACAACGTTTTTGCGGCTCAGTTTGCTTCATACGACCCCTACTTTCTCGCAAATCAGCTTGTAATTGTATATTAGCCTCTCTTTGAGCCTCTGAGTCTTGGACAGCTTCGACAGTAAGTACTCCTCCTTCTTGCAATCGACGTTTCTTCGTACAACGACGTCGACTAAGTAAGTCATTTGCTTTGCGAAGTGCAGCGTTTTCTTCTCGTAATAACGTCAATTCGTGTATTGCACTCGCTGCACCTTTCGCAACCTGATCAATGCTTCGTAAAAGCAAAGTTGGTGAACTATTCTGATGTCGTATAATCCGGTCTTTAAGGTATGTTGATTGAGATTGTGTCTCAAGTACATTGTGCAGAGTTTTAGGTTCCCAAATCACAGGTAGAGTTGGCGTAGGCGTTGGTGTTGGCGTACGAAGTCGAACATTAAGCTTTGAGATTACATAGTCTGGATCGTACTCTCAGTTCCGTACGAACGCTTTAATGGTCGAAAACAACCAACGTCAAGTGGCTCAAGGTTATGAGACGAATGTGCTGGCATGCAAAGAATAATAATATTCCAGTCCTTGCAATACATCTCAAATTCGATTGAGTGATGACTTTCGTGCCCGTCAAGAATCAAAAGTCAATATCTACCCTTCGTACGACTCTGTGTATGTCGATTAAAATGCTTAATCCAATCAAGCCCTCGCTCATTTGTTGTCCAGCCATTTGACGTAACAGCAACAACCCAATTTGACGGCAAAGAAGCGTTTTCATACCAAGACGAAAGGTGATTTTTCCCTGCAACAATAATAAATGGCGGTAGCGCATATCCATACGATCCAATGCCTTGAATTACTGTAATCCATTCCCTATTACCTTGCTGTGTCGTACGAGGTCTGCTCTTTCATTCAGCATTCGTTACAACCATCTCAGATGATATTTGGCCCATTAAAAATCCTGTCTCGTCAAAGTTGTATATGTCCTCCTCGTGAATCCCATATTTAGTTATCATGTTTCGTACAAGTCGAAACCACGCGTTATACGCGTCAGGATCTTCGCATTAAACTCGCTGATAGTTGATCTTTCGATTAAAACGCGTACAGAGTTGTGGTTGTCGTCGTACGAAGTTTGAAGTCCAGTTCTTTCCGACACGTCCGCTGTCACGTTCAGCAAGCAATCGATTCGCCATATCTTCAACAGCACTGTGTCGAGGAGGAAATGCTCGCGAATCTAGGTCAAGAATATGTCGTACGACAACTTCTTCTTCTAATATTGTCAATTTTCGAGACTTAACTGAAGTTGTATATCGTGCAGGTTTTCCAGAGTGTCGATCTCTCAATGTCGTACGAGGAAGATTGTAGATTCGCGCAACGTGAGTTACACTTAGTTTTGGGTTTGATTTAAGCACTTGAAGTGCAAGAATCATACTTCTTTCTTCGTACGAAGTTGTCATGTTTAAAAAAAAAGTTATGTAAGTTTAAAGTCAAAAGTATGATGCCAAGAAAAAATCGGCGGTGAGCTTGTGTAGGCGACTCGCTTGTGAACTACGTTATGTAGTTAGTAGAATGTCACAAATCAACGACGGCGGTAGCACGATCTTTGTGAGAATACTGTATATTACAGTGCTCTTTCTAAGCCTATCGCGCAGTCCATCGAGGACACCACCAGCCCCGAGCCCTTCACTGCCAGTCCCGACCCCTTTACCGACGAAACCCTTTTCACCCATAGCCCCTCTATGCAGAAGCCTATGCGTTGGCTAACTACCGACGACGAGAATACTGACAGCAGCGATACGCCAGTAGGCCAGAGGCTTGTCCGCCTCACAGACGACGATGTCTTGGTCGTCTTTCGGCTTTGCCTCCAAGAGCAAGCTGCCTTCGGTCACCAGACCGACAAGATGTTATGGCGGCTAATAAGCCGCCGCCTCTTCAAATCCCGAGGCAAAGAGCATAAGACGCTCCAACGGGTGGTAGCCAAGGCGGTCCGTGATAGGCGAGAGTTCCTAGCTCTCCTTCCAAGCGGAGAGCATGACAACCAGTCTTCGATGACAGACGCCTTAGACAGCTGGATCGCTGTCCAAGACGCCCGTCTCGAAGTCCAGAAGGCTCGACTCGATGCCCAAGGGACTGCGAACGCTGAGACTACAGCATCTTCAGCATGGCGGCAGTCTTCTCTCGCACTTTGGACAGACAAGACGCAGCTCTTACGAGTAGCGTCTCGTGCTTTCCAAAGAGAGGAAGATGGCGAGGCTAGCAGCCCCCCCCTAACAACCCCAGACCCCAGAACGTCCGACTCCACAACCCCGCCCCCTACAACCCATCATCCTCACGTCTCACAACGCCGACGAAGGCACGCTACATCCACCGCCCCTAGCATGCCTTTAGACGTAGGGGACCCTATTGCTATAGGGCTTGAACGCCTTATAAGCGTTGTCGAAACTGTCGCTAGTCGGATAGGCGGACCACAAAGGGAGGAAGGGAGGGAGGAGTTACATGCGGTCGTTAAGAGGCGGCTTGAGGACCTAGAGTCTAAGATTAGCGCTATCGACCAAAATGTAGCAACAATGCTTGTGTAAGGCGGCCCTCACGTGAGGGCACGTGAGGTGTCACGCTCTTACAGTGGACCTGGCGGGCTCGGTAAATTAGGGCCTACGGGTTCCTGTATATAAGGGGCTGGAGGCTCGGAGTGAGGCCTCCAGTCAATAGTTGCTGTATATACGTAGACCTATTGTTACGCATTGAATCCTACTTCCTACCTACTGATCTGGTTCCCTGAGCTCCCGTGTGACCCTGGGTCCTATGCCTTTACAATTCTATTGACTCAACCCATACTCAGCCTACCAGATCAGGATGGCGAGCCAGGAAAAGAGGATTACCCGAGCGACCTCCGGAGGAGCGACTCCAGCGGCAGAAACCATCGAGGCCAGCCCACCGACTCTGGGCCCTGAAGCCAGCAGCTCCGCGACGAGCAAAGCGGACAGGATGCCGTCAAAGCTGGCCGCCCTCAAGAATAGGATCGAAGAAGAGAGGGCCTACTACAATACCATGGAAGAAGCCCTCCAAGTATTCCAACGATCGCACGGCGACGACTATAGCGCCTACCCGGAGGAAGTAAGGGTCTTCGCAGAAAGACAGGCCCGAATACAAGAAGAAGGACGCCGGAAAAGGCGACACCAAGACACTGAGGAAGAATGGGAGGGGACCCCAAACGAGGAGGAACAAGAGACTGCCTCCGTAGTATCGCGAGAAGCAACCCCGTCGTATAGGCCTTTCGGCAAGGTCAAGGACCCTAAGGTCTACAAAGGCGAGTCGACACGAGAGCTCAACGAGTTTATGGCCTCAATCCGCGCTTCCTTCCGATACCAGCCAAGAATGTTCCCAACCGAGCAATCCAAGGTGGCCTTCGCCGCCCAATACCTTGAGAGCGACCCCATGAAGGAGTGGGACAACCGCTGCGCCTCGCAAGAGGAAGGGCTCGAGGACCCTTTAGATATCGCAGGGTTTGAAGAGTTCCTTCGCGACCTCCATATCGACCCAGCCAACCGGCAACGCATTGCAGCCCTCAAATACAACGGCGCCCACCAGCGTAAGGGGCAGGGTATCCGCAAATTCGTTGCGTACCTCGAGGAATTGGAGCGGGAAATGGAGCCCTACACCGAGTCCCAGAGGACCACCCACCTCCTGACGAAGTTACACCCAGAACCGACAGGGAGGCTGTTGTCAATATCCTAGCCATGCTGGAAATGAACAACCGGTGGGTAACCGAGAAGAATCCTTCTACGGATAGGCCCAACACAAGGGAGAATAAGGGAACCCTGCAGGGTGGCTTTCCAGCTCGGAAGGGCCACTTCAATAGCCACAAGTCGGGCAATCACCGGGAGCGAACGCCCTTCCAGGATCGCCGTCGATCGGACCAACAACCTGCGCGCAAGCCAGCTGACACCCAAGGCGCAAGGCCTACCCAAGTAGGGAACGCCTGTTACAACTGTGGCAGACCAGGCCACTTTGCAAAGGACTGCCGTAGCCAGCACACTGGGCCGGGAGTCCGGAAGCTGGATACCCAGCTCCTCAAGCGGGAGTGACTCCCTACCGAAGCCCTACGCCCTACGCAGGCGAAGAGGATGGAGATCGACATTGAAATCAAAGTAGGGCCTACCTGGCACAAGGCCAAGGCTCTACTCGATTCGGGGTCGGACGCGTCAACTATCCACCCCCTCTTCGCAAAAGATAAGGGCCTAGAGTGCCGAGACAAGGGCCCACCTCGAGCGAGGGCTGTGGACGGCAAGGAGATTGCCATATACGGAGCGGCGACCATACAGATCAAGGCCCAGGACCACTTTCGAAGGGAGATGACCGTAGACCAGACGTTCCTTTCCATGGATACCCCTGGTGTGGATGTTATCCTTGGAATGGACTGGATCGTACAGGTCAACCCCCAGATCGATTGGCAGACCCAGATATGGCGCTACCCCTTCGATATATCAAAGGCGATGGAGGTGGGTATTGAAGAGCTAGACAAAGGCGATACTGCCTTTGTCCTGGCGTTGACCTCGGAAGGAGCGTTGGAACCCCAATGCCCAAGGGAGTACGCTGAATTCGCCGACGTCTTCTCTAAGGAGCGGGCAGAAGACCTACCCGAGCTGGGTAGGAAGACCCACGGTATCGATACCAGCACGCAAGAGCCGCCTTACGGCCCGGTATACAACCTATCTGAGACGGAGTTGGCCACACTCCGGGAATACCTTCAATCAAGCGAAAGGAAGGGTTGGATCCAGAGGAGCATAAGCCCAGCGGGCGCGCCCATACTGTTCGTACAGAAGAAGGATGGCAGTCTACGCCTCTGCGTGGATTATAGGGGTCTGAATAAGATCACCGTAAAGAATAGGCACCCCTTGCCGCTGATCACAGAGACCTTGGATCGGCTCCAAGGAGCGAAGGTCTTCACAAAGCTGGATATTAGGAACGCCTACCACAGGATCCGGATCCGCCCAGGCGATGAGTGGAAGACCGCCTTCCGCACTCGTTACGGCCACTTTGAGTACAAAGTGATGCCTTTTGGCTTGGCCAACGCGCCAGCCACGTTTCAGGCCTATATGAACGAGACCCTCGAAGGGCTCGTTGATACGATATGCGTTGTATACCTCGACGATATCCTTATTTATTCCTCTAAAGAGGAGGAACATACCCACCACGTACAGGAGGTCCTAGGTCGCCTACGAGAGGCGAACCTATATGTGAAGCTCTCAAAGTGCGAGTTCAATACCAAACAGGTAGGCTTCCTTGGATATACCGTCACAACAGAAGGAGTGGCTATGGAAGGCAACCGGGTTGCTGCGATAGCTGAGTGGCCTACACCCAAGACCTACCGAGAGGTCCAGGTGTTCCTCGGCTTCGCCAACTTTTACCGGCGCTTCATAGAGCAGTACTCCTCTGTTGTGGCACCCTTGACTGGCCTTATGAAGGGGGCCAAGGCCGGTAAACAGACCGGGCCCTTTGTGTGGGGAGCAATGCAGCAGGGCGCGTTCGATCGCCTCAAGGAGGCCTTCACCACAGCTCCCACATTAGTCCATTTCGATCCAAGCCGTAAGATTAGGCTTGAGACAGACTCCTCCGGCTTCGGGTTGGCAGGGAACCTTTCCCAATACGTAGAAGAAACCCCAGAACGAAGGGGCGGGTGGCACCCAGTCGCCTTCTTCAGCAAAAAGCTGGAGCCAGCAGAGCTGAACTATGAGGTCCACGACCAAGAGCTCTTGGCGATCGTGAGATCTTTCGAACAGTGGAGGCATTACCTAGAGGGTAGCCAACACCCAATCGAGGTCCTGACGGATCACAACAACCTGAAATACTTCATGGAAACCACCGCCCTCACAAGAAGGCAGGCGCGGTGGGCGCAGGCGTTGTCAGCCTACGACTTCCAAATATCCTATCGATCTGGCAAGACCAACCCCGCAGATGGGCCGTCTAGGAGACCAGACTATGAGGAAGAGAAGGGTAGCCAGAACGTGATGCTTCCTACCCTTCGAAACAAGCTCCAGAAAGCCATACAGGCAGGAGAAGAAGCCCTGCAGATGAGGCGGGTAGTGGCTGACTTACAAGAAGTAGGCACCACACTGGGCGAAGACCAGAGTAAGGACACCAAGAGTCCAGGTCTCGTTGTCCCTCGAGTTATGGTGGCAGCCATGGCTCAGGGAGAGAGCGCCTACAGTGCCACGGCCGAACCCTTAGCGGATCTGATCAAAACCCTTCAAGCGGCTGACGAGCTCGCTGTTCACAGGGCCAGAGAAGCAGGGTCGGCGTGGGTGAAGGGCTCTTCAGGTTGGAGAGTAGACGATGCAGGCATCATACGCTTCAAGGGAGCGGCCTACGTGCCTCCCAATCAGGCAGTACGTATGGAAATCTTCAAGATTTGCCACGACGACCCTTTGGCTGGGCACTTCGGATATAAGAAGACCCAGGAACTGATCCGACGGAAATACTACTGGCCTGGATTAGACCAGGAAGCCAGGGAGTACGTACGTGGCTGCGATCGGTGCCAGCGGATCAAGCCGGTACGGCACAGACCCTACGGCGAAATGCAAGGCCTTAAAATGCCTACTAAGCCCTTTGAGTCCATAAGTATGGACTTCATCACAGATCTGCCGCCTAGTATAGGAGCAGACCAAGCTAAGGCTTCAGACTCCATTTTGGTAATCGTAGACCGATACACCAAGGTATCCAAATATATACCCTGCTGGAAGACCATTACTGCCACCGAGTTGGGGCGGGTCTTCCTTGAGTATTGGGTTAAGGACTTTGGAATTCCTGCTGAAATAATCACAGACCGCGGCAGCGTATTTACGTGCCACTTCTGGTCGGCCTTCTGTTTCCACCTCAAAGTACGGCGGAACCTATCGACTGCCTTCCACCCTCAATCTGACAGCCAGACGGAAAGGCAGAACCAGAATATTGAGGCCTACCTACGCCTACACTGCAATCAGCACCAGGACAATTGGGTAGAACTTCTTCACTTCGCGGAGCTTACCTACAATAATGCCTTCCACGATTCCATCCAGATGTCGCCAAATCAGGCTCGATACGGTATCAACATCGACCTGCGGCAAGGGATCGAGGACGACCCCATGAGAAGGGAGGTGCCGGTTGCAAGAGACCGAGTCCAGAAGATCCTCGACCTACGAAAGGAGCTTGAAGAGGCCTGGGCGAGATCGAAGGAAGCCCAAGTCCGAGGATATAACAAGATCCACAAGCCAATGCAGTTCATGGTCGGCGAACGGGTGTGGCTTTCTGCCAAGAATATCAGAACCACCCAGCCAAGTAGGAAGCTAGGTCACCGGTGGCTCGGACCGTATGAGATCACCGGGCGGATAGGTAAACAGGCGTATCGATTGAGGCTTCCCCCATGGTATAAGGCGATTCACGACGTGTTCCACGTCTCCCTACTCGAGAGGTATCGGGAAGGCGTTGAGAAGGCCGATCCTCCACCAGATCCAGAGATCGTGGATGGGGAAGAAGAATACAAGGTCGAGGCAGTCCTAGACCACAGGACTGTGCGGAGGGGTAGGGGAATTCGAGAGGAATACCTGATTAGGTGGGCA